AACCCGTCACGCGGTCGAATTGCTCACTCATGCTTCCCTCAGCATCAACGTGCGTCTTGATGACCTCGAGGAATTGATCGCCTGTGGTGTGCAAGCGCTCAATGACAGAGTGGAAGAGCGCATCAGAGTCACCGTAGGTACCAACATCGACGAAGAGGGAAGAAGTTGCGAGAAGGGCTTCGAAGAATGGTAGACCCGTGTCAGAGATGGTCAGGTTACCGGCAACCGAGATGTGTGCTGCGGTGCGGTAGAGGACCTCAGCGGCTGACGAGGTGCACAAGAACCAGGGATTACCTCCACGGTTCGAGGTGCCGTATCCGTCGTAAACATCCTCGGGGTAACGGCCGAGGCCAGTGCCTTGAAAAGAATCTTCTTCCATGTCGTCATCGCGGTCCTCGTCGGATGGGCTGCTGTTGATCGGGAAACGGTCGCGTTGGTCGCGAGTCAAAGCCAGAAGCGACATGAGCATCTCATCAGACCATGGTGGATATACAATGTCACTTTCGGAATCATCTGCAGGTAGAGCGTGGAGCGAGCCAAGGAGCAACCCACAGTCCAGCCCGCTCCGCTGACTCGACAGCGTCTCAACGAGATGGCCTTTCTGGGGATCCCAGAACTTGCCAAGGAAAGCCTCGATGTACCCAGCTTGCTCCTCATACCAGGCTGCCGCACCCATGTCTCCGAACGTCCTTGCAAGGTCGGTACCTTCCCTCAAACTTCTTGCGCTAACCATCAGGTTGAAGAAGTGCAGACCCTTAACTTCTTCCCAGAGATCGAAGCTCGACTGATTCCAGAAGTGGCTGACGTACTCCAGGTCGGCCTTGATGACACTACGTGGAGGCATCTCCACGGCGTAGTATGGTCGGAAGAAGTCTTCAGCTGACTCCGAACTCCAGAGCAGAGGGTGTGAAGCATTGTATTCTCGTAGATAGTGCATGAGCGTCAGCGCACGCAGGGCTGGGCCATCACGCTGAGGCCGTCCCCATGAGCCAGTAAAGGGTGTTCCGTCTATGTGGAACTTAGGTTCACCAAGCCCAGAGAGATCGTCAAAGGCACCGGAAGGGTTTGAGGTATGCTGGATATCGCTCGAGAGGGAGGTATACGCGTCGAGGATGGTAGAGAGTGCGGAACCGCGAGAAGAGGATGGTTCGTCGGCGTAGACATCTACGAGGGTGTTCATAGTAATCGCGGCATCGCGGACCCCTGTATGAAATGCATTAGTAGATGCTCAGTGGTAGGCATAGGTAGGTGTCATTCACATTGAAACCAATAGTCTGGCTCGTTCTGGCTCGGACTCGCAACAACCGTGCCATCCGCTACGCCCTTCCCTTGGACATTACTGCCACCGGGTGCGACATTTGCCAGGAGTTTGTCTAGAGCTATGCGCTCTTCCTTCTCGATCCACGCATCGAACGTATCTTGCAGTGGTTGTTGCTGTGTTTGTGTTCGGCTGGCGCCAACGAAAGTACTCAGCGGAGGAAGACGCGGTATTGAGAAGGCATAGGCGTGGTAAAGAAAGCCTGCAAGGAGGACTACGTGAGGAAGCATGACAGCTGACTGTCGGATTGGCTGGGTAGGGCCGATGGATTAGGACACTGGAAGAAGGGTAGTATGATTAGCAGTTCATAACTAGCGCGCAGTGGAGCAGAAAACAAAATGAGGAAGCAGAAAAGAGATCTCGTGGAGTCTAGGTGTTAGTAGTCGATCAAAGAGACACAAGAGCCGCCCATGGCCCCAAGCCTCCAGGCGTCCCTGCTCTGCACCTCCGCGGTCATCCCTTTCATCGGCCATGATTCTCGATCACGATGATGACGGTAAGTCGCGTGCCAGGGTTAGCGGAGTGCGTGGACGAGTAGGAGGCGGTGGACGGGGTCGCGCGGGCGGTCAATTGTCTTGTTTGACATGGCGGGTGATGTGTAAAAAGCCACGCGAGCCGACGCCAACAACGTCACGCGACCCACTTCCGCGGATCTGGGGTAAGCATGCAAGGCACCTTCTGGCTGGGCGTGCGACACTTGAACAGGCCGAGGTCTGCGCAAAGTCGCACATGAAATTCGAGTTTGAACGTGAAAAGGATGTGATGTCGACAAATGATTAGGTAGCATTTAATGACTGCTTTGTACTTTATTTAGCTCGTGCAATGTTGCCTCTCCTTCCCAATTTCATACCACGGACACTCCATCAGCCATAGCAGCTGAGCTCGTCAGCTCGGGCCAATTTCTGTCGACCATCGGTTGTGGATCGTAGGAAAACACCATGAGATGAGATGTCTATAGCACGTATCGATGATTTTAGATGGATTCCGACGTTCTCCGAGGTCCGGACGCATGAGGGGTCCAGTCGGCTACTTACATGTAGCCGCAATGCACGTCGGCTGTTCCCGTCACCTCTGAGCTCATCAAAGTATCATCTGTCCTAATCATTCACTCAAATTGTGCAAAGACGGTAGAGTTATTCTCCGGCATTGGTTTCTTTCTCCGTTTCGCGATTGGAATCTGGCTCACGATCGTTCCGTCGGTTCTTTCCCTGGAAGTATTGGAGTCTGACGTGCAATTGACCACTCCGACACTTCCCATCCAGTATGCTATCACAGCAAGCGCGAGTGTTGCGCAACGTTCGGACGGCGCGGAAACTTAGTCAACGGATACCCTGTGCTACTTTCACGGTCTCTTCACGATACAGCAACTACGATGACACCATCCAAAATCTCAAGATCGGATCACACACTCGCGTTATATTCCAAGGATTCACTGGCAAGCAAGCTACTGCAAATGCAAAAGAGTCAATAGCATGGGGCACGAACGTTGTCGGCGGCGTAAAGCCGAATGGTTCAGGCGAGCATCTTGGGCTGCCTGTCCTGCCATCTGTGAGGGCTGCAATGGAACAGCTAAAACCTGATGCAACGGGAATTTATGTCGCAGCACATCAAGCAACTGCTGCAATTGAGGAGGCGATCGAAGCTGAGGTGCCGCTCATCGTTGCAGTCGCGGAGCACATTCCGTTGCATGATATGATGAGAATACATTCCATGCTACAGTCGCAATCAAAGTCCCGGCTCGTGGGTGCCAACGCTCCAGGAATAATCTCAGCTATTGGAAGATGCAGGATTGGATTTCAACCACTTCCCACGTTTTCTCCCGGACACATCGGCATTGTGGCGAAATCCGGGACTCTCTCATATGAAACCGTCGGTTCTCTGACACGAGCCGGTGTTGGACAAAGTCTTTGTATCGCAGTAGGGGGCGACGTGGTGGCTGGGACCAACTTCGTTGACGCGTTGAAGGTTTTTGAGGGTGATGAAGATACAGAGGCTATTATCATCGTTGGTGAATTAGGCGGTACAACGGAAGAGGAGGCAGCAGATTGGATCAAAGATTACAGAAAGCGCGTTAAGAACCCGAAACCTATCGCTGCAGTCATCGGAGGCTTTGAAGCACCAGCTGGAAAAGTCATGGGCCATGCAGGAGCATGGGTTGGGCTAGGAGAAGGCACTGCGGCTTCAAAACACAAAGCGCTGGAGGATGCTGGTGTGACCATGGTGGACCATCCTGCCAAGTTTGGCGGCGTGATGAAAGATATTCTTGCAAAATCCGGTCGCAACGTGAAGAAGATTGTATGACTTGGTCACAGGCGACACAACATGCAGATACTGACAGTGACCAGGAACAATCGGCAGCTCAACAGCGCCGCTCGTATCACACTTCAAGCTTCACACGGCGGCCTGTCATTTCTACTACACCATCAATCCCATGTCAGCAAAGACGTTCTCTCCATCTCACCAAGGACCAGTCTACGAACCTTCTCGCAACATACAAAATCGATCTGACAACACCACCAGAGGGTTCACCTTCAACACATTACCTAGGCATCTCCCCGCACCGCTCAGCACGCAGTCCCTCAATCATAGCATCGCCCACAGCAAACCCTTCTAAACTGAACCAACGCGTCCGCCGTTTCCCCTTCGACTACCGTTCAGGCCCTAGTAAGGAAACCATCCAAGCCGCAATCGCACACATGCAACTTGACGCCGCCCCACCGATGGCCAAAGCCCAATCCGTCGAATTAATTCAGAACCTATGGAAGTTGTACAAAGAGAAAGAAGCAATCGATGCCCACGTCAAAGTCGCTCTATCTGTCGAAAGCGACGAGATACTCATCTACGAACCGTACTTGTTCTTCGATGACGCGGCGTTCAAGTCCGGCAAACGACAAGCTGACCTCCATGCTCTTCGTGACCAAGAGTCGGTCTCAGCAACGGACCGAGAAGCTGAAGAAGCCGGTATCGTGTACATACCGCTGGGGTCTCCTGAATTTCCGGCGGGGACTAGTCAGGCGGGGACGCAAACGCCGCCGTCTTCTACGGCAGAAGAGGGACCGCGGAACCTGATTGGTACATTGGTGAATGGTGCTGGACTGGCACTCAATACTATTGATACGCTGTCTCTGCGACTTTCACAGCCGCCTTATTCGACTTCTGCCGCCAATTTCCTCGACACGGGTGGGAAAGCGACGTCCGCCACGATCAAGACGTCCTTCAAGCTCATTTTGTCCGATCCCCGGGTGTCTGTTGTGTTTGTGAATATCTTCGGAGGACTGACCTTGTGCGACATGATTGCCGAAGGTATCATCATGGCGTTCAAGGAGATTGGGGTTGAGAAACCGGTGGTTGTCAGACTAAGAGGAACGAACGAGGAGAAAGGGCAGAAAGTATTGGAAGAAGCTAAGCTGCCCATCCACGCATTCGACGACTTTGAAGAGGCGGTCAAGAAAGTTGGAGAACTGGCTAATGCGAGCGGATCAAAGTGAGGACTAGCTTTATACGCACATGGATATTTACATTGGCAACAGTTTAAAATGGGGGATATCAGATTAAAATACTCTACTGTTGACCACCCGGACAACCCAGTCTCCGCATTCACACAGAACGAATGTGTTGCCGCTCCCGCCTCTGAGAACAAGTCCCTGAAAAGTTCCTTTTTCTTTCCAAAAGGGAGCCAGCCACCGTTTGTCCTTTCGTGCAATAGCGTACAAGCCTCCCGTACGCCTGTGAAAAAAGATGAGAGAAAATTTGGGTGATTGGTATCTGCGAACAAATCGAAATGAAGTAAAGCACGTTGGAACTCAAGCGCGGGGGGCGAGCCTCCAAATACCCAAAACATGCGCGAGACTGTAGGGTTCAAGGAAAATGGTGGGCTTATGCAAGGTATTGGAAGGCGGTGCTGTTTACCGTTAGCTGTGCTCAGATTTGTACGTGTCAAATGTAGACTTACCCTATGATTGCCATTACACCCATGCCGACAAGTGCTCTCCGTGTGACCTTCTCCTTGGTCAACTTCTGCTCGGTGGTGTAAGCAACCTTTGCAAGTTTACTCATACGCTCGTCGGCGAGATCTTCCACATCCAAAACGTCCTCAATGCCACGCTTTGTCGATTTGATGACATTGGCCGACGCATCGCCGTCCAGCCGTTGTGCTTCTGCGACCATCCGCTTGGCCTCCTCGATCATGGCGGTAGGGTCTTCGGGCTCGGGAAGCGCAGCATGGCTGTGTGGGACATCGACGGTGACGTTGGTGCTGGTCTTCTCAGTGTCGCCGTTTGTCTCCACGGTCTGCTCGACTTCGATATGAACTGTGCCCTCCTTGACATCTGGCTCGGTCTTGAGCTCAGTCGCTGCTTCCCTGTCCTTGACATCACCATCGACAGATGATGCGACTGACTCAGAAGGTGTGGTGCCATTCGCAATGATTGCTTGCAGAGCGCTCGATGGAGTGACGACCTCGTCGGCCTTGGTAAGATCAGGCTTCATCGCGCTTCTTGTGGCTCGCGACTTTCGCGGAGTCGCAAACTTTCGGCTGCTGGGGGTTGCGCCTCGGCTAGGTGATACAGATCGAGCCGAGCGGGCGCGAGTTGTGCGAAGACCGGGTGCGGGCAGAGTTACAGGTGTGGCGTTTGCGACGTCGAATTTCGGGGGCATTTGGATATGAGTGTTTGATTTATCCTTGTTGCCCTTTTCGATCGGCGCGGGGTCTAGAAGTGCCTCAATCCAGTGGCGCATAGAATATTCATCAGACAGCGCGAGAGCTAGAGGGGCTTTGATTAGCGCGAGCTCTCGAGAACAGGTGAAGGTGAGTTACTCACCCTCTTCAGGCGCAATCCATACGCTTCCAGCGACCTCTTCGGCGCCTGCAGAAGGGAATGTCTTTTGGTACTTGCGTTCCAGGTCCTCTTCTACGACAGAAGCCCAAGGAAATGCGGCCTTGAACATGCCTGTCGCACTAATGTAGCCATCGCTGCTGCGTCGCTGTTTGTCGTGTTAGTCGCATCCTGAGCGAAATCTCGTGGCTTTTTTTCTTTCACAACGCGTACCATCAGAAAGTAAGACTCGGGGAAAGCCGAGGTCTTGTTCAATGTGAAGATGCCGGATCCTGTCAAGTCCTTTGGCAGCGGAACCCTCAGGTGCGCGTAATCAAACGTGCCCATATTCTCCGGCTTGGTCGCATTGGTAAGACCACTGACACCGGGCTTTACGCCGAGGTTTGTTTGTCCCAGTCGGCGCCTCTCGATGAGAATCTCAACTGCGCGCAATGGTTAGATGACTGGTCGCAATGACGCGATGCGCAACGTATACGTACTGGCAGTGGATTCGGTCGGCTCGAGAAGAGGATTCTTCCTCTCGGGCAGGTTGCGGTGGGAGAGCATTTTGAAGATGTTGCCGGTAGGTCTTGAAGTTTGGCCTGATGTGCGCGTAGAAATATAACGCGTGTTGGCGATGAATGCAGCGCGCAGCGCAAAGGTGGTTGCGAGAAGATTTGATGGTTCTGTCTACGTATGACGCGCGCAATCTTCAGTAACAATGTACTGCCGGACCGAGTCGCGCGACGAGTGAAGACAGCTGCGTGTCAAATCGAGACGGGATGGCGACGTGGGTGAGGGCGTGGCGAAAGCGCGCGATCGACGTGATGAAAGGTGGTGCGATGCGACGGAGGCGGACAGGAAGGAGCGATGGGTGTGCTATCCCTGTGCACTAGCGCTCCCAGGACGAAGACGCCCCCAGCCACCCCCGGACAGTCTGCGCGAACGCAAAAGTTTCGCGGCAACCCTTTCTAGTGTATTTGCAATGCTGGTAGTGCTTACCGATTGGCCGTGCCGATATTGTCGTGGCATAGCAGGCCCGAAGAAGCGTCGCCTGTCATTCCATGGGCTCAATGCGGAAAGCGCTCAAAGTCACGCGTTTCCGCTCTTCTCTCGTGACGCGTTGCTTTGGACAGCATCACCCTTTCACCCCAAACACGGCGAGCAATGCTCCCACTCCGTGATTGCAGCCTCAATTGGTGCATTCTTGAGAAAACCTCGGCGGCTAACATGGCGAGCAAAGCTCGTGGCCATTTTTTCAAGCGCTGCATTATATCTTCACAACCCAATTGAGATGCTTGAGGCGATGGGAAGCTCATATCGCAAGCCAGCTACAAAGACCTTTCTTGTTCCACATCGGTTTCTTGCCCGGGCATCACCTGGTACTATCCCTTTAGTATTATATCTCCGGGACGGGATGCATACGCTACCACCGATAGCGCTAACCACGTCACGAAGCTCAAGCTCAAGCTCAAGCTCGAGAGCCTACCGACAAATTGTCAGTCTGGTAGAAGCTCACACCCTCAGGCGCGCATGCGACGCGACCCTGCAGACGTAGGTGGCCTGTTCCAAAAAGAACAAGAGGGGTCTGCTCCATGCTCGACCATGAGACAGTTCACACTTCAAAAACTTACTCTGCCTGAGGACAGGACCATGGCGGACATGGTCGTGTTGCAGCAAGAGTCTGGACAGCTGCGGCATATCTGAAGGGTCCCGCAAGCACCAGGAACGCAGCCAATCAGACGCGCCGACGTGCTGAAGCGGTGAATGTGCCCCGCTAACCGCGAGGCTCAACACGAGGCCGCGCCCCTCATTCCTACAATTGACCCTTTGACTTCTCCACAACATTTCTTTTGTTGCCTTGCCCCAATCACTCACCCTCACCTCCACAGTACGCACCGATACCAACCATGGCCGACCACGCAGACGACCTCCACGCCGAGCAGACCGAGGGCTTCAAGGTTGGCGAGAAGAAGACCATTGACGAGTACCAGCAGTTGGGTAGGTTCCACAACTTGTCCGGGGAGCTAGTTGCCTGTATACATGGCTAACACGCGCGGCGACAGACCAGAACGACGAGTCCCTCCAGAAGTGGAAAGCGTCCCTTGGTCTTGGACAAGGCAAGGACATCTCCGACCCCAACGACCCTCGCCGTTGCATCATCCTCTCTCTCGCTCTCGAAGTCGAAGGCCGCGATGATATCGTTATCGACCTGCGTGCACCTGGTGCCGTCGAGGCTCTTGAGAAAAAGCCCTTCTCTATCAAGGAAGGTGCTCGGTTCCGCATGAAGGCACAGTTCAAGGTGCAACACGATATCCTGTCTGGTCTGAAGTACCTCCAGAAGGTCTCGCGCATGGGTGTCAGCGAGAAGCTTCAGGAGATGATGGTGAGTACATCTGCTATAGGGGAGCATCTGAGCAAGCACTAACAGCCATGACAGGGCTCATATGGTCCCAGCACCGAGGAGAAGCCATACTACGAGAAGAAGTGTATGTACAACCCGATCTTATCTTCCACAACCCACTAATGTCTATTCCAGTCGAACCTGAAACTGCCCCCTCCGGTATGCTCGGCCGTGGCCACTACACTGCCGTCTCCAAATTCGTCGACGATGACAACAACACCCATCTCCAGTTCAAGTGGTCATTCGACATCAAGAAGGACTGGTAGTTTGCGGTCGCATGTGTTTGGCTGACGGGGACATTCATGTAGCGATATAGCGGAAGGTGTCATTTTCTTTCGATTGGAAGCGATGGATATCCAGGGTAGCTTGAGCTCCCACGAAGTAACGAAGCGACGGCCGACCGTCTAGATGGACCCAACAAGTCCGGCTGGATGGCGCACAGGCGAATTGAACAGCAGAAACCTTTCACAGTTGGTCACTGCAATGTGTTGTCTTTCACCCTTGGTCTGCGTGTGTTTGTTGCTCCTCGAAATCGTAGAAGCGAAACCACCTGGCAGCTATTGTCTTCGCCTTGACCGTACGACCTGCCCACGCTCGGTCGCCGCTTCCAGATCCGATTTTCCGAGCCGAGATACTCAAAATAGAGACGTCCTGTTCCCACGGATCTTTCATGCGAGTTTCCGCGGCGGACTCTTGGGCATCATTCGCCATGTCTGTGTCGTCACTATCGGGCTCTTCTTGACGCTCGCGCCTACCCTCGCATTCAGCGATGTAGAGCGTAACACCTGGTTTGAGCGCGACTTCTGCCGCCGCCGAGAAGCATCTGGACAGGCCCTGGGCTGAGAAGGAAGATGTCGACGCATGCAAAGCGAGTGGATTCACCAGGACGACCCTTTCCTCTTCCTCGGCATCGGCAGCGACACTGGTTCCAGCCCGACCATATGCGGTCAAGTAGGCTAACAAGGCCTGCACAGACGCGCAGAATGCAAGTTTGACATGCCGTGTCGTGAGTAAGTTTTGAAGGGTGGGCGCAACCAACTGCTCCAGACCATCCGCGTCATGTTCACGGTGATTGTGCAGTGATGTTGCAAGATCTTGAAGGAAGCTATCCCGACTCGAGCAAACGATCAGTAGTGTTTGACATGTTTCTGACTGCGTGGTGAGAAGGTAGCGAAGCAAGGCCGGGAGGGTTAGCGGGCAGAGCACTGTTGGCGTGGGCGTTGGCGACATGACAGAAGGGCTACTTGTGGAAAGTTTGTCGGCTGTCATGTGTCGGTGCAGACCGTCATCGGTACACTCATTCGGGGAGCACAGCTTGGGCTGACCTTGACAGGCGTGGAGGTGCCAATCGGCGGCAATACCCGCGCCCCGGGCCACCCCACTACGTCCGTTGTCCATCCATCAGAACACCCAGGGCATGCACGCCAGGACTTTCAATCACGATCACCAGGCCCAGAACCTGCTCCCTACCTTACCTGACTCTGCATAGTCGGTCTCCCGTTTGTGCGCAGAGACGAAGCGTGCACGCTCCGGACCGAAGCGCTGTCCCACGCGCAAGTCGCGGTCATGGAGTCCATCAGTCGCATATCGAGCTTGCTGGAGACAGGTATGGCGCCTTTCACATTTTTCATACAGATATGCTGCACCTTTTCTGCTCCCGATCCGGGCTGCAGGCCTTCTGACCATGTAATTGCTTGGTACCGCCGTCATGCATCCCTCGAACTTCGCTCACTGGTCTCTCTCTGCAGCTCGCGACCTCACCCTCGAAGCCGCCCGCGATGCCAGCAATGTCCGCCGAGCGCCGACAAAAGAACTGCCCTCGGGCCAGCTCAAGAAACTCCTTGACAGCAGATCGGAGCGCGATGTACTCGAAGGACTGCGCAGAGTCGTCACTGTAGGAAGCCCCCGCCACGGTCTCGAGACCAGCCCATTGGACGCTGTGGGACGTGTAGTAACTGACTACAGCACATCTAGATGTCCTACCGGCAGCCGCCTTCGCAAACGCTACCCTTCTTCTCCCACGTGATCAAGAACGTCGCATCCCCCTCGCTCCAGGTCAAGAAGCTTGTCTACATCTACCTCCTCCAGCATGCCGAACACGAACCAGACACCGCGCTCCTCTCCATCAATACGATACAGAAGTCGCTCACGGACACGAACCCTCAGCTTCGCGCCCTCGCATTACGCGTCATGTCTAGTATAAGGGTGCCTGTCATAAGTCAGATTGTGAGCTTAGGCATAAAGCGCGGTTCTGGAGACATGTCAGCATACGTCAGGAGGGCAGCAGCTCTGGCAATACCAAAGTGCTATAGGTTGGACCCAAACACGGAACCGCAGCTACTGGAGTACCTTTCGACATTACTGGGCGACAAGCAGTACTTTGTGACGGGCGCAGCTGTATCGTCTTTCTTGGAGCTATGTCCGGAGCGTCTGGATCTCATACACCCGCACTACCGCTCATTGGTTCGAAAACTAGTTGATATGGACGAGTGGGGGCAGTTGGCTACATTGCGACTGATGATGATATATGCAAGGAAGTGCTTTCCGCGCCGGACGAGGAAGGTCAAGAAGGCAGCTGGGGTCACCACAAACAGTAAGCCTACGCAGTCGACGAAAGGCTTCTACGACTCAGAAAGCGGTTCGGAAGAAGAGGAAAAGGAACAAGAACAGGATATGGAAGACATTGCTGTGCTGGATCCCGACCTCGAACTGCTGCTGAAAGGCTGCCAGTCACTCTTGCAGTCTCGGAACGCGGCTGTGGTGATAGCGGTAGCAAGGACTTACTTGTATCTTGGTACCCCGGAGTACCTAACTCAGGCCATTGGCCCGCTGATATCCCTCTTGAGATCTGCGGGAGACATTCAGCACATTGCACTGTACAATATCGTGCAAGTCTGCCTGACACATCCGGAGCCTTTCGTCAAGTACTACACACATTTCTTGGTGCGGTCAACCGATGCGCCACACATCTGGCAGCTCAAACTGGAACTGCTTACTCTGATATTCCCTCATGCACCTCTGAGACTACAGAGCCTGATCTTAGCTGAGTTAAGCCATTTCTCTCATTCTGGAAGCTTGGATCCAGCATTGGTCAAAGAGTCGGTGCGCGCAATTGGACGCTGTTCGCAGAGCCCTGCAACAAGCCCACAGACTTCAGCGAGATGTCTGAAGCTTTTGCTAAAGCACATTGGATCTGCCGATACTCATCTGGTTGCCGAATCCCTAGAAGTCATCCGACATCTGATACAACGCGATCCGAACGCTCACCGCACGACTGTAGTCCGGTTAGCGAAACATTTGGACGCAGCAACGAGCCCACAAGCACGAGCAAGCATTATATGGCTGGTCGGAGAGTTTGCTGGAATCGATCCAGAGAACAACATTGCCGCTGATGTTTTACGTATCCTTGTCAAAGGCTTCGCGGATGAAGCTGAGCCGGCAAAGCTCCAAATCGTATTGTTGGCAGCGAAGGTCTATGTACATCACTTAACTGCAAACCCGCCCCCCGAGCCGAAAGTGGAAGAGCCTAAACCGAGTCCATCGCTCATGGATGATTTCCAGGAAGACCAAGGCGGCTTTAGGGACGAGCATCTTGAGTCCGCCCCACAGAATGCGGAGCCTGAAGAGGAGAAGCCACACATTATTGAAGCGCTATACAATTACGTTCTTCTGCTCGTGAGGTACGACACCTCGTACGATCTCCGCGACCGCGCTCGCGTCTACAAAGCACTTCTGGCAACACCAACATCGACGCAACTCGCGTCGCTCTTACTTCTTGCGCCGAAGCCAGTACCACACATTCCCAGCCCAAGTGAAACCAGAAAGGGCTACGTGCTCGGCAGCGCTAGTCTCGTCATCGGTGACGAAGGCGGTGTGGGTGGTCTCCGAGGCTACGAAGACCTGCCCCGTTGGGTCAAAGAAGGTGATGAACCAGACCCAGCTCTACGCGACGAGGTCGTCTCAAACTCTTCTTCGACATACGTATCAGCATACGAGACCGCGAAGAACATGTCAGCGGCGGAGAGGTTAGACGCTGCAGCAGGTGGTAGCAGCAGGATGACGCCAGACAGCATGCTGAGTCCACGAAGTCTAAACGGCATGGATGGAAATTCTAGTATGGGCGGTGCGAGTAAAGTACCACAGAAAGAGAAGACACTGGACGATTGGCTGGCCGAGGAAGAAGATGAGAGTAGCAGTGAAGAGGAAACAGACGAAGAGGAAGAGACGGAGGAGGAAAGCGAGTACGAAACAGACAGTGAGGAGGAGACTGATGACGACGAAAGAGGGAACCTCATAAAGTAGATATAAAGTTAACAAGCGAACCGTCGTCTTCCATGACTGCTTTACAGTTCGCACTTTATCGTAAGCCTCATAGCTCAGTCGCTGGAAAGATAATTGTGCAGCTCAACAGTATGTCGATACGAGAACCCGGCATACGGCATGGCAAAGATGGAAGGAGCGGTTAGGGTATAACGCTCATGCATTACTAACGGAGCCGCGGAGATTGTCTCGTTACTCTCGTGGCAGACACCCCTGGGTACCATCAGGCCTATCATTCTACGTCCCGTTCAATTGCCCGCTTTCGACGCTCATCGCAAGAGCGCACATCATGTGCACAGGTCTGCATCATCTCCACTTGCATGTGAAAAAGATCGTACTATTTGGAATAGCTGCCGATTCATAGACAGATCACCGCCATCTGGCAATCGAAGTCGCTTTTGCACGGCAGGGCTGGTTGGCAACAGTCGAAGGTCGTGCCACATTGGCGCATAAGATGCGAGCTTTGACGGTGTCATTCGGCTTCTTGTCACGAGCCAATGAGTGAGTGATCCTAAGTTTACTCGTATTTTACCAGCTAGGATGAACAGAACGTAGAGCCCGTCGACATTCTCCCCTGGCTAAGTAAATGTCAAATCTATGAATTGAACCCCCTGTCAACAAGCGTGTGCAACAGAACAGGTGGTTACGGTTTTCTGACCTGGATTTGTCGCATCTTGCCAGAGCCGTGTCTCATCATCGACACGACTGTGCTTAGTCATCGCTGTCTCTACAGACACATCATCCCGCAGTTGCAGTTCATATGCGTCCTTGATGTGGTATCGGATGGATGAACCCGGTGGTGCTAGTTCGTTGCTCTTGGTCTCATCATTATCCCGGTCGTTACTGCGAAAGCGGGAAGTCAAGAGGCTAGGGATGTAGCGCGCAAAGAAGGGCTTCAGAGCGGGAGCACATGCGCATACTATTCCGGCATTGACTTCAGCAAAACACCACTGGAATTGCTCGACCGCGTCCCATGTATAATCGGCAGAAACCATGAGAGGATTCAACAGGGTTGTTCGACGGATTGCCACGACACAGACGCTAGCGTACAGTTAGTTTGGCTTTTTAGGACGAGTGGTATAGCTTACAATCCACCGGTCGCGAAAATAGCGCATACAGTGATCTTTTGCCTGTGCGGCATATGAAGTCCTGCTACAATGGGTATCGGAAGTATCAATGTAAAGACATCAATGATGATGTTCAGGACAGAAAGCGCCATGTACTTGGTCAACTGATCTAGACATGTAGCCCCAGGCAGAAGTTTGAGATCCCATGTCGCGGCTATCGGTTTGCAGCCGAAAATACTGACGAGATCGTAAACTGTAGCGTAGATGACGACCACCGCGACGAGGATCCAGACCAGTGTACGGAACCATCTTTGTGGCGACAGGCGTAGATAGAAAAGCAGTATTGACAGTTTTGAAAATGCGAGGCTGGTAGCATAAAGGATCGTGCCGACCAGTGTCCACTGCGCGTTTCGTTAGTGTCGCAGCCACAGGCTCGCAATAAGCATACCTACCTTTTGAAATGCAAGCATGTACTCTTCTGTTTTGACTTCCCACATATGGTAGCCTAAGCCAGACTTCATATCTAAGTCACACTTAGCCTTGCAGATTGTAGTGACGGCGATGAAACATACGCGGAAAATTGCACCCCAGCAGCGCAAGGCTGCACATCATGGCACATACTATCAGATCTACAGATCAAGAGTTAGCAAGATCACTTTGCCTACATCAGTATACCATTGGAGAGACTCACAATCGTTGAGATGAATGCCCAGTTTGGTGACATATGCTCGTGTAAAAAGTTGCAGAATCACTGCAACCAATGCAAGTATGGTTGTCGACACTCCGACAGCGGCAAGTTCTTTGTGAATGTTCGGAGGGTTGACTGTGTGTCTGGTTTGACCAGGCGGTGGTACTGCGATGTAGACCGACATCGCACTGATCCTCGCTAATTTAGCAAGCGAGCGCAAGTCGAGACATGTAGTACGACAGTTGAGGCGACATGCATATGCTTATAACCCCCGAACTGATCGGCCCAATCACAAATGTGAACTGTGCCTCTTCGTCACTTGGTACCGCTGGAGTGGTTGCGAATGTCAACAAATCTAGGTATCTCCCTTTCGCACGAGTCGTTTCCGGTAGGTATCTACAGGGTCAACTCGCACCTGCGAACCTGATTTTACTACCCTATCTCACATTCGGCATTCCCTGTTTAATTAATAACGTCTGTAGCGTCATCTGCCTTCCGATATGGGGGGACTAAATCTGAACGTACATGGCGCCACTGTCGACGGTTGCATGGATCGTCTGTGAGAGGAGCAGGCGGCTGCTGAAAGAACCAATCTTAGGAGAAACTGGTTTACACGACGTGATCGTGCGGTTGACTGTCTATGGAGCTGGCAGCCGGCGGCAGTGACAAGTGAATCGCGCTATTTCTGGGGATTTCCCAAACGAGCGGCGGCACACATGTCGGGGCTCCACCGAAGGATTTTAGTGCTGGGGCTTAAACGGCTTGTGGTATTCCATGTGGATACATCGGTTAGGGTTTCGTTATGTGAACATGCGGCGCGGTTGTGCTGGCGACTCATGGCCCGCAGCCATGAGCAAGGGATTGCCTACGGCTGTTGACGCATTGGATATATGAGGGGCACATTGCTGTTGACCTCGTGCTACCTGATACCTTTTATATCCTGGTTTATCGTTATGAACGGCACGGCTAAGTCACTCCCATATGCTGTCAATACCCTTCCTTTTTTGGGGAGGGTCATCGCTGTTACTGGAGCCAGCCGTGGACTGGGTCTGGCCGTCAGCAAGTACTTGCTGATACGAGGCGCTACTGTGTCTATGTGTGTAAGTAATGTTTCTGCACTACATACATGCGAGACGTATGCTGACTTCGGACACCAAACCTTAGGCAACGTCGGTTGACAATCTGTCGAAAGCCACCAAAGAAATTGACGCTGAGCTTCCAGACGCCAAGGACCGGTACTGGACGTGCGTCGTAGATATCGCCAACCTAGACAGTGTTCGGTGTTGGATCGAGGAGACTGTGACTAGATTCGGAAAGCTCGATGGTGCCGCAAATGTCGCTGGTGAGCTCATTTAGCTTTCTTGATACTGGATGTGCTTCTGATCGAGTCGTCTAGCGGTGGAGCAACGCGAGATCTTCCCTATAACCGATCTCGACCCAGAATACTTCGCCAGACTGCTCAACGTAAATGTTGTTGGTACTTTCCATTGTTTGAAAGAAGAAATGAAGGCTATCAAGGACGGTGGCTCAATCGTTAATGTTGGAAGTATTGCGAGCCACTACGGAACGCCTGGCACGTCAGGTAAATACCGAGTTTTTCCAAATACACACGAGATATACGCTGACTTCGTATTTCCACCTCTGAAGCATACGTCGCCGCCAAGCACGCGCTCATTGGTCTTACGAAAGTTGCAGCTTTTGAAGGCGCGTCAAGGCGAATCAGGGTCAACGCGCTGTGCCCGTGAGTGACTTGGATGGCTGAAGACGACCTGAGCTAACTGCAGGTAGCGGATGCTTCAACACAGAGATGATGACGAAGTGAGTTTTGTTCGTGTACAAATTGATCGTGAGATATTCACTGACGATACTTAGGCCTTTCAACTCGGCCGCTGGAGAATTCCATCTGGATAAAGACAACATTCCATGTATTTTGAACCGGGAGCTTCCAGAAACATGGGAGATCGCAGGATCGGTCGCTTTCCTGCTCGGTGATGAGGCCGCGCACGTTACGAAAGCGTCGTGGTCCATTGATGGTGGCTGGGTCGAGAGTAACTACAGCTCGGGCTAAGGAGGTGAGTGGTATGAAGATGATAGAGGTTCGGGTTTAGTATGTATCGATGCAGCGTGCGCGGGTGTGGAACTGTAGAAGTGAACATTGGAGTTTCCCCAGAGGTTGCGCGGTCCCGTTCTCGGGTTTGACGTCGTCAGCGTGGCTTAAGCGCCACCCGTAGTTAGCTCAATGCTTATCGCTATCATCCCCTGACACCGCCATTGCTGCACCTTCTTTCCGACGGGATAGGGTCACGTGTACGTGCTCTGGTGCTTCCAGCGTCTCCGTCGGAAAACACAGCAATGCGTCTTCGTGGGTAACGTTCCGTGGGATGACGCCTGGGCATGCATACAAGCTCAAGTATATAATCAGCTCCTAGACGTTCAGCATGATGGGGAGCACAAGCAACGCCGAAGATCGTATCTCCCAACGACCAGTACAGCTGCAGCGAGATAGACACTATCATGCCTCTCCCATACGCAGACGCCGACATCGCGCAGCTCCAGCGCGATGCGGATGACAACCTCCTTACATACGGTACCGCATTCCATCCTGAGATAATCACCTCCACGGATGGCATAAACGTGCAGACAGCATCGGGCCACCGCATGATGGACGTTAGTGGCTTCAAGCTCTGGAAGACACCAAGTATACAACGCTAAGTATGATATCTAGTTCACATCCGGGCAAATGAGCACTCTGATCGGACACGGCCATCCTGAGGTTGTGAAAGTGATTGCGGATCATGCGCAACATCTCGATCATCTTTTCAGTGGGATGATCAGCCCTCCAGTCATCAATCTCGCGAAAAGGCTGACTGGTGTCGCGCCTGCTGGGCTCGATAAAGCGTTCTTTCTGAGCACGGGCGGCGAAGCGAACGAAGCCGCAATTCGGCTGGCCAAATTCTACACCGGTAAATGGGAGATTGTGGGTTTAGCTGCCTCATGGCACGGCATGACAGGCGGATCACTCGGTGCTCAGTATCATGCTGGACGTTCAGGTTACGGTCCCAACATGATTGGGGTAAGTCAGTTTTTATAAACTGCGGATGAGACATTGTACTGACTTCGTACACCTACATTCAGAACCTAGCGCTGCCAACCCCCAACTCCTATCGATCGATCTTCAGACACGCTGATGGTACACATGATTGGAAGACTGAGTTGGACTACGGCTTCGATCTCATAGACAAACAGTCCTGTGGCTCGCTCGCGGCAGCCATTATTGAGCCGATTCTATCAAGTGGTGGTATGCTGGAGCTTCCCCCGGGATACCTGAAGGCCTTGAAGGAACACTGCACTGCCCGAGGAATGCTTCTCATTGTTGATGAAGCGCAGACGGCACTTGGCAGAGCTGGCGATATGTTCGCATTCACACATCATCCCGAGGACGAAGGCACAATACCGGATATCGTGACACTCAGCAAAACGCTTGGAAACGGCATACCACTCAGTGCCGTCTTGACATCGAACCCTATTGCCCAGCATGCCAAAGACAACGGTTTCTTGTTCTATACTACCCATATCAACGATCCCCTCCCAGCCGCAGTGGGCGATAAGGTTCTCGAGATCGTCATGAGAGATGATCTCTGTGCCCGCTCCAAGAGGCTCGGTGTCAAGCTCCAAGCAGGACTCAAGCGATTGCAGTCACGCTACGGTTGCATTGGTGACGTTCGCGGTCGTGGCCTCATGGCTGGAATGGAGATTGTTGGCGACAGAAAGACAAAGGTCGGTGCCCCGGAAGTCGGGGCCGCAGTGTCAACAAAGATTGCAGAGATGGGCTTGTGGGCTCAGCTAGCCACGATGGCATCGTTTGGCGGAGTGTTCAGGATAGCGCCACCGATTACAGTCACGGAGGAGCAAATCGATCGCGCCTTGTCAATCATCGAAGAAGCGCTAAGGTTGACTCCGGGTACGATGCCACTTTACAATGATGTCGCCGCACAATTGTAAGGTAGATTGGCTCATGTGAAAGAAATTTGTTTCAATTGGCTATAATATTCAGACCTCATGTCGTGTGTAAGTATACAGCATCTCGGTTGAGTACACACTCTCTGGGTTGAGTAAGGACTCTTCTTGGTGGACATAGGGTCCCCTGGTGGAATGTACACCTTCTGTTGGCGATCGGTGGTCATCTGCGTAGGTCATACTATTTTGGAATAGAGTATCTCAGGTGTACAAAGAGTCAACACGTTTCTCGAACTTCCTCTTGTCGTTCAACTCAGTCTCCACCTTGTTCAATTCTGTCTCTGTAGCGACTTTTGTTGCCTGCTCGGCCTCTACCCTTGCCTCGGCATCCAGCAAGGCCTTTTTGAGACTAGATTTTGACTTCAGGGCTTTGTTGAGTGACATGGTCTGCGCATTCAATGCGTCTTGGAGCGCTGATTCTGTTTTTTCTAGGCCCTCTATTTCATTTCGTACGATGCGCTTCAAGCGGCCACACTGGAGTGGTGGTCAGTTTCGATGAAACCTGTTATCCTGAACGCGACTTACCAACAGTACCGGATCCTCACTATTTTGCTTTTCGTCTTCTCTTGTGGCGTCATCGCTTGCAGGCCTCTTCCTCTTGGGTTGGCATGCAATCATGGACACCGCCGACACAGGCTTGTATTCCATTTTCAGATTCAGGTGACCAACCATTGTATTCGAGAGTACCCGTGCAGCAATATCGTCGTCTTGTTGCACCATAGTATCGAGTGCTCGCAATGATGGGTTCTCAGGCGCTTTCAATGGCACCGCTGACAAAGTCTTTCGCTCGATGTATGGCTCTTCAAGGCTATTGTCTTCGTCAACGCTAGGTTGAGTCTGAGCGTCTGTGATTTGATTGTTTTTCGGAACAACGAGTCTTGGGCGATTGGTCTTATTCCCCATGCGGAATGACTTATCAGCAATACTTGTGCATGCTTTCTTGAGAGCCTCTAGCCCATCGTTGCTGAAGACAGAACGTTCGATGAGTCCTTGTTCAAGGAAATAGTACAAGACTAAATAGCGTAGTGACTTGCACCAGTTGATGGTACCAATGGCTTTCGGCTGGTCGAAAGGCTCGACGTAATCGATGCTGTGTAACGGCAACATGTCGTCCCCTTTCGGCGCTCGATTCATTCCTATCCTGATGTGGCCGCTGAGATGGACGTCCACTAAACTGAAAAGACCACTCACTGAGACATTCAGTAGGGCGTACACCCGGGCTCTTCCATTGCTCTTATCATAACCAATCAGTAGCTTTTTGCTAGATCCCGTATTTCGATTTTCCAAGTGAAACTTGAGACCTGCCTTTCGGATGTTGGGTAGGTAGCGAAAGTTTGTTCGCCAATTTTCGTCTTTTGCAATTTCTTGGTGAAGCCCTTCCAGAGTGTAGCGATCGGAAGACTTTTGAGGCAATCTCGGGGTACCCGCCATTGCATGAGTCCTTTCAGAGTGTTTCGGAAGTCAGCGAGATAGGGTGATACTAACTCCAAGATGAATCTGAAGCTGAGGGGGTGCAAAGAGCCAGGTTAGGTAATGGTGAGGAGGAAGAGACTTGTAAGATCCCGGTGGAGCTTCTAGCGTGGCTACTAATTGTCGCAGGCTCGAGTGAGTAGGTAAAGGTGAGCTGAGCAAGACACGTTCACAGGTGATTATGACGGGCGCTTCGACGCCTCCAGGGCTATCGAGTGATCACGAGCTTTCATCAACCTCACCTTACCCCGCATTCGGGTCTCTCATATCTGCTATCTACTGTGGCACATCGTCGTGGAAACTATCTCTTCCGCCTACACCGGTATAACCAGACCATTTCGAGCCGCCGGGCCAACGATCGTCCCATGTCTTCTTGCCTTTGTTGTCTCCCTTACATTTATGTTCTTGTTCCTTCTTCAGACAGCCTGGACACAATTTGTTCCTTTCAACATGGGTTTGGTTAACGACCCTATTGCATTGACGCTGTATGGGGGAATGTTGAGCTCGTGAACATAACGTGAAAGTGTGTATTGGGCGAAGCAGTGTGTCCCGGCATGAATACTGTATGTAGTGGCGGACGCACATTGTTAAGTCTGATGTTCAGAAAATGTACATGAGAAAGTATGTTCGGTCTCGCTCGTTGTTTTGATACTCTGTGCGCGTGAAGAGTTGGCACCAGTGAATGACAGCAATGTGACTTTGGTATGGGGAATGGCAAAAGTTTGACATTTTTGTGCTGGCAGGCCAGCGTAAGATAATATTTACAGTAAAGAAGCCGCCAGCGAAGTGAACGATCTTGGACATCATCACACCCTTACACCTTCACACCTTCACAACATCTGCGTCACCGCCTCAGGAAGTCGGGTCTTTCCGCAACGACAAGCTTACGGGCAGTTGACGGTGATGGAAGCGGAGCCAGTGGAGAAGTAACCCTCAGTGGCGACGATCTGGTAGTAGTGGCTACCAAGGGTCATGCCCTTGCTGGCCCAGGCGTCAAAGTGAGTCTTCATGTTGACAGATCCGCTGGAACGCTTGTTCTGGCGAACAGACCAGTACTGCTGAAAGGTCCTAGTTCCATCGATGGATGGCTGGTTGGTACGGGTCGACTGGGCGATCTTGTAGGAAGAGCCATCAGCGGTCAGCGTACCCTTGTTCTGGGCTTGGGAAGATGGGTCGTAAGTTCTTTGTGGTGTCAGTGTATGTTTCTCATATAGTCGGTGCAAGGGCATTGCTTACCCGAAGTTCTCAACGACGTAGTACTCGACGAGCGGGTTACGAGTCCAGCCGTAGATGGCAAGGTAGGAGTTGCCGTTGGGGTTGTAGGAGCCCGAGTAGGTGATGGTGCTGATGCATGGTCAGCAAAGGTGTCACATCAAGCATGTAGGTAGCTGAAATGACATACCGGGCGGATCCAGGGTTCCATCCCTTTCCACCGACGAAGTTGCCACCGCTTCCCCAGTTGACGCTGTAGCTGCCGCCAGCACCGTTGGTGTATGTGACGCGAGATCCACCATCAGTCCACCAAGAGTAGACTAAATATATGATCAGCTAGTGCTCACAAAAAGGCCTCATGGTTCGACTTACAGCAGCCGTTGTGCGTTCCCTCAGCGTTGGGAGTGCTCTGGCGGGCGACGAGATCGCCAGACGAACGAGCAGCTACATCAGTGGCGGGAGCAGCGAAAACGCCAGTGGCCGCAATGGCAGCGGTGACGAGCGAGGTGAAAGAGACCATCTTGAATATGAGTTGCTTGTTGTAGGAAGCGAAGGAGATGTTTGATCGTGGTGGTGATCTACGAGGCGACTCAAGATGGCTTTATATGCCTTTGCTCCACTCCACACCGCGGCTTGGTGGTTCAATGGGGTAGCCCCGGTTCTGCTGGCGGGACCAAGACAAACATTCTCGCCATCACTACGGCCGTCCGTCTCTTAGCAGCTAGGATGTAGATCAAGTGCTGCGATAGGAGAGACACTACTATGCCGGGCTTGGCTTCTGGAAAGAAAGGCATGCGAAATGCCGGCGAAGCATCCGGTGTGATTGGTCTGTGACTTGAAACAAACGGTTACGGGACAAGGCCGGGCGGTCATTAACCTACATGTCAATATCTCCGTGGTGGAGTGGGCTTCGGGTCATGGCGGCGCTACGACTGTCCTGGCAAGCACCCATCCACGTGTGCTTCCAATCTCTATGGCATGCATATGCCAAGCTCTCCGCCTTTACAATCTTCCCGCGGTTAAAGAACGTCTTGGCGTGAACACCGAACAGTGGAGTTGTGAGTTGGTAATCTATGTGAAGCCGCGTGACACGTGTGGCGCTTCCAAGGCTAGAAGTGGCGGCAAAAGGCGCATCTCTTACACATCGTATGGTTATTGCTCGATATCCAAGAAGCTTAGCAGGCTATGCAGTACTTCAGGCATAGTTCATGAGGTGTTGGCGATGTTACAGCAACAAATGAAGGACTGCGATATTTTCGTGGGGCGTCCAAGCGCGCTGCCAAGAGACGTTTGCCTGCATCTTGCTTGAGCCGCATACCGCTTGTCTCCTTCTCACCGTCACTGCGCTCATGTTCTGGACCAGCGTAATCAGCGAACATGTCGGCAGCACGAATCCGCAATCATAGTTACGAGATCGTAATGAGCTCTCCGACCCCTCAGCCCGGCTGCGCAAGATCACTGTCCCTGGTCCTTGAGATCTTGCAAATATGGATCGATCTCCTGACTTCATATATACGGCAGGCTTTCCGAATAACTCCCCCTTGTTACCAAGAACGTCTAAACGAGTTCTTCCATGCCAGCATATGAGGCTGTCATACCCGAAAACGATGCATTACCATATCCGCATCACCGCAGCCGCATTTGCCTCTGCACACATACGCACCGCCCCTTGCGTAATGCGAGGTGATCACAACACGACATTTCCCCGTATCCCGGAGAATAGCAACCAGCCCTGGTGATCCGGGGAACTTAACGCGCCAATCACGTTTTACCCGCCATATTGCTAGCCATGACGAACGGTAAATGTTTACATAGCCGTCTGTACCCCGGATTCTACAGTCTAGACACCGCATAGCGGACTTGCTTGCCCAGACTCTTGGTACTGTATAAGATGTCTTGTCCCGGTGGGTGAAAGGTGAATGCGTGGAAGCTTGGTTGAACCGCCGAATATGAAGGAGCATGCTGTGCATGTTGTACGAGGGAGGTCGAATTGAGTGAAACATCACGTGAGTTAGGCTTTGCAAGGCGTATGATCACTGAGCGCCGTTCCCGGGCTGGCTTGGCAGACAGCAACGAAACGTCCAGCACCCAGTGGTTGGTCTTGTAACCTCCCTCGAAGATTCTATGGCTATTACTCTTCAATTATGCTCCTGCAAGGTTTTGCGATGGTAGAAGTCTCAAGATCTTGCTTCACCATGAGTGCCTTCCGGGCATCCAGAGGCGCTGTGGAGAGATGTTCACTTCACCTCGACAACGACAAGAACGTAACAAAGTCGAATTCACCGTGAATGAATGGCGTGTATTCTTCAACCTGAACTGCTAACCGGTCTTTTGCTATTCGCAAAAACAACAATAAACTCCTCAGTCTCCTTTTTCTCAGTCAAATCTCCAATTCCAAGCCTACATCTTCAACGACATCACAATCTAACAACCATGTGCAGACGCAACTTCCACCATCACACCGCATGTGAGCACAATATACAAGTCTACGAGAACCCGTTCACCATGTGCGGCGAAAATCCCGGAAGCAGGTACAGACTGCCATGCCAAAACCCTGCAAACGTCGTTTCCGTCTCCTCAGGACACTGCACATACTGTACGTCGGCTTTGGAGAAGAAACTCGAAGATCTAAAGATCTGTCAAGAAGCAGGTTGGGTGTGGACCCCGAAGAAAGAGGTCTGAATAAGGGCACAAATGTCGCTTCAGGGACAGAGTGAAGGGGTTTAGGAGATATATGGGGACAGAGGCATCATCTCACAAGATGCGGAGTCACAGTGTCAACGGGGTGATAATATTTCTAATAGTTAGGATATCAGGTAGAGTGATGCAATTGCATGATTATCAAATTTTTCTATAATTACTATGTAATTGCTCTGATCAATTTCACGTCCTTCGTTCTGTTACATGAACTACCGCAAAGTTGTTTGCGTTGAGGCATGTGCAAAGTTGCGCAATCTGGGGTGTTCGTCGTCTTCGGCTCTTCCAGTAGAGCCTGACATCGGTTTCTTCGGCCAGTCTGACAAAGGAAATAAAATAAAACTAGGGGTATTGCGCTCATAACCGGGTATATCTTGAAGCAAAAGGCCTCGCACTTAAATCGTATCCATCGTTCATAACCATATCCATCTCGTTCATTACGTAGTTTGTCATCTCTTTCATCCATTTTCGTGTGTTGTATGTCTTCGTTTCGTGTTTGTCGTTCAAAGATCAGGGTCTTCGCCGGTTGATACTTCCGGCTCTGGAAGCCACTCCTTCAGCTGCATCATTCTGTTCCTCGCGTGGATGATGAAGATGGAGATGGCGAGTGAATTCCAGACATCACAGCCTTCCTGCATGAAGTCGTACATGGCGAGTAAACGCAGTGAAGGTTGCTCGTTCTTCAAGGTCGGCGGGGCATAGCTCACGAACGCCATGACAGTGTGCGTGGCAGTGATACCATAGAGGGTCGGAACTTCGGGTACAACAGCATCTCCACGGGCTACTGCCTCGTCGATCTGCAGAGCGTCGTGCCATAGCTCGTGTAGCCGACCGAGCTTCTCGATCATCTTGCGCTCTCCGACGGCCGGGTGCACATGTCTCGAGAAGGTGACGGTCTGGAATAGGGGGAGCTGGGACCAGAGATGCTCGACTCTACCGTCCTTCATAGCCCATTTTGTGTATGCCTTGACAGCCTTGCCGATCTGGAAATGAGGGGCGCGCTTTGTCCGCGTCTGCCAGGCGTCGCGAGCGACACCGCCCAGATCGAACAGCTTCTCGAGAGCATGTTGCGCTGAACGCTGTTAGTAAGATTCTCCTAACCAATGTGTGATTGTAACATACCACTGTAATCAGTCCCGCAGGCTGGCTTGATGAATGCCTTGTCGATATTCTCGGTGAAGAGGTCTGCCGGGACAGTCTCAAGATCATCGATCCAGCTAATAGGCATCAGTGGCTCAAAGCCGCGCATGCCCAGTTTCTGGAAAAGAAAGACCGCATCTTCAGACCAACCAGCGTCGCGCAGCTCCCGAGCTTGTTGATCTTGTCTGTACCGCTCCTGATCGTGATTGACTTTCTTCTGTACAACCATGTAAGTGCCATCATCAACGACCATGGTCTCTTCGTTCGCATCCCACAGGTCGGCCGAAGAGCCATCGGTGTCGTGATCTCTCGCGAGTGCGGCGGGCGAATGCGCGACCCGGGTATCTCCTTCTAGATCCTTGGAGGACATGGCCGAAGCTGGTGGGGAGGGCGGTAGCAGCGTCGCATCGATATCGTGGTGAGTCCTTGGTGTGCTGAGTCCTCGGGTCTTGACGTGCGCCTCGGGGCTCATGTCTCGTGTAGGCGGCGGCGTGGTGTGTTTTGACAGAGCAGCGGTTCGAGTGGGGAGCGCGGGCAACTTGAAGGCATACGGCTTTTCCCGGCGTTGTTGTGTCTTGCGCGGACTGACATAGTTCCAGAAGCAGTCGGACACTCCGCGAAGAAACGCCATGGTAAGCGGTAGGTGGAAGCGGTTGAGTATAGTCGCGTAAAAGAAGTGTCCCCGTCACGTCGTCGTGAGTGTGACGTATAAGGAGCGTGGTGGGGGGGTTGCAGTCGATATGCGAAGTCGCGGTGAAGTGAAGGTGAGGGTGAGGCTACTCGATTCCCCATGCGGCAGGCCAAGGTATAGTCTTTGTCCCTTTGATGCGCTGTTGACTTGCTGAGTCTTTCACTCACGGGGAGTAAAGACGGGGCAAAAAGGAGTCATAGCTAGTGAAAGTAAGGTGAACGGAGCGGCTTGTTCCTGCATGGCTCATGCAGCCCTGGACTCGGTCAACTGGTCTGCCACGCTGTCACATTATGTCTAACCGGATCCGGCCAGCGTCGACCGAGGTGGATGCTTGGATGCAGGTGCGGTGAAGATCTTATCAGATGGAACTTTGACACCCCACCAGATCTCTGCGTCCCCGCCAAAAAAAGAGTCGAGCCGCTTTCGGAAGACATTTACGTGAGGACTAAGTTCGCGACAACTCTTCTTTTTCACAGCAACAAAATGGCAGTCACAGAGCAGGACACCCAGGTTCCCACGCTTCGCAATATCCTCACCTCGGAGTCGGAGCCCCTCGCCCGCCGCTTTCGCGCTCTTTTCTCCCTCAAGCACCTTGCCGGCCTGCAGCCACCCAATGCGCAGACTGTCCCCGCCATCGAGGCCATCGCAGCCGCTTTCGCTTCGCCATCAGCCTTGTTGAAGCACGAACTCGCCTACTGCCTGGGCCAGTCTGGACACGATGCTGCCATCGCGCCCTTGAAGGGCGTATTGGAGGACAAAGAGGAAGACTCCATGTGCAGGCACGAGGCTGCCGAGGCGCTTGGTGCACTGAGTGACAAGGGCAGTCTTGAGCTGCTAAGGGCATTGAGGGACGACGTCAAAGAGATCGATGTCGTACGAGAGACCTGTGACATTGCTGTGGACCGCATAGAGTGGGACCATGGGCTGCAGAAGGGACAGGAGAAGTTAAAAAAGAGGTATGTTTATTATAATATTCGTGTATATATCTTGCTTGCTGACTACTGAACAGCGACTTCACGTCCATCGACCCTGCGCCACCACTACCACAGAGTACCGAGAAGCCATCGATCCCAGAACTTGAGAAGACACTGCTCGACACCACCCTGCCCTTGTTCCAGCGCTACCGAGCCATGTTCGCCTTGCGCGATCTTTCCTCGCCACCCGACCTCCCAACTGCCGTTCCGGCCGTACAGGCGCTCGCGCGCGGATTCACAGACCCCTCTGCTCTCTTCCGCCACGAAATAGCCTTTGTCTTTGGGCAGCTATCACACCCCGCATCCATCCCTAGTCTTACAGAAGCGCTCAGTAACACAAAGGAGGCAAGTATGGTCCGACATGAAGCAGCCGAGGCACTTGGAAGCTTGGGCGATGAAGAGGGTGTCGAAGATACTCTGCGTAAATTTTTGAACGATCCGGAGCAGGTGGTGCGGGACAGTGTGGTCGTAGCACTTGACATGGCAGAGTTTGAGAAGAACGGAGAGATGGAGTACGCCATTGTGCCGCAAGCTGTTGCAGCTTAGCGCGGCCCAAGCTGTTGCGTGCATACGGCGTTTGGGGTATCTAGAATTCAAAATGGGAACCATAGGTAGAATTTCCGCTTCAGTTGTTGGTATTCCATCTGTAAGATAGCAATTAGCATAAGCTCAGCTCTGAACATGTATGACCGAACGTACTTGTGACCGCAGTCGCACTCGTAGAAGACAGTACTTCCTTCATCTGCGCTTCGCAGTTGTTGTGTGTAGTATCGCACTTCCTCTCTTCCGCATTTCTCGCATGGATGATTGATGACGCTGCTTGTCTGAACGTCCTCTTCGGATATGGTCTGGACCTCGGATCTCTTTGCGCGCAACGATGACGGGAAGGCAGTGGGCTTGGAAACTGTGACGACAGTCTTGGAAGATGTATCTGAGGCAGGTTAGCTCTCCTACTCTTCACCATGCGCAACATAGACGGCGCATACCTTTACATTGCGCTCCGCATGCCGCGCAGGTCAAAATAACATTTTGCTTGCCGGCAGATCCGTCGAGGAGGTTTCCGCAGTCGGTGCAAAACACAAGACTACCAATAGCCGACATTGTGGGTGATTTGTCGATTTATTGTCTTGGGGCGGGTGATTGGTGTCGGAGTTGAGGAAAAAAGTTACAGGGAATCGCGACTTCCGCGGCTGCAGCCAAGCTAGGACGGGAATGGCAGGCGGTGAGAACGCGTCTGAATGTCGTGCACCACCACACATGCATTCGATGCTTCCGGTCGCATCGCATCGCACTTTTACAACAAGTTTGCTACCATCAGTCCCCCAGGCAGCGACTGGCCAGCTGCCGGAACATAGCATGTGCGCACGCACGATGATATAGCCACATGCCCGATCCGTCCAATCCAAGTCCACCACCACACCTCGACTGCGCCTGTCCACAAGTGCTCAACACCACAAGCGGCAATGAATGGCGACTGGCATCATGCCAACGGAGGCGGGCTCCCGTTCAGAAGGCCTCCCCCCACAGTGGATGAGGCCCTTCCGTATTCGCCCTTTACCTCCATCATTCCCTTCTCGCCCGGTGCGTAACTCTACTTCACCTGCGCACTTTGCCCAAGCGCTTTTCTCTCACTTGGCTAACAACCGCCAGAGATTATACCCTTCCCAACCGCCGAGCCTCCTACGCCACCCTCTACCCTAAACCCCGAGCAACAAAAAGCCGCGAAGAAGGCTGTCGGAATCTTGAACGCCGAGATCCAAGGCCAATCCACCGCCCAGCATCTGCATGATACCCTCAATCAGCTTCGCAACCTCTTACTTCGCGATAGATTGCCAGAGTAGTGGGTTTAAGCCCTTGCCGTATCCGGATATCATGTCTAACACCCATAGTCACTTCAAGCCGATGCCGCAACTTCCAACCCCTCCGCCGGACAGTCCCGTCAAGAACACTAACGGAGATGTTTGCAGCACTATCTCTGATCTGAGCCCCTTCGCACGCAGGCTCTACGACCAGACGGATGTGGCATATACGGGTAGGCCTCTTTGTCACATTCTTCATGCAACCACTAACAAGGACAGCACCGAATGTCAAAGCACCCGAACAGCCTCGATCAGAGTCAGCACCTTCCCGAAAAGCTGAACTTCCACAACCGCCTCGCACAGCCCCCACACCACCCCAGGCTACCTCCAACGGCCATGCCTTCACGCAAAACATAGATTTACCGTTCTCGTCAAGCGCTCTTTCATCGGCTCCCAGCAGCACCCCAGTGCGGCCTCCTGGTCCGGCCGTTATGATAAAGCCAAAAGTGGTTCCACGCGCAGACTACAAGTACATCGACAACATCGATATTGGAAGCTTGTCACAAAAGAAGGAAGACAACAGAGCCGAGAACGGCGTTGCAGTCTTGCGACCCCACGAACGAGAGATTGCTGACGGGAAGATTGAGAGTCTCAACTCTCTGGTCGCCAGTCTAAGCGAGGACAAGGATGATCTTGACGGCTCACTGCACTTCACCAGAACCCCAACTCCTGACGGCGAGTTCAACGTTCTCAAACCCCGCTCAATGGATGCCCTTTCCGAGAAGATGTCTGGTGTTGTTAGTCTCGGCCGCTTCAATGCGCTTCCTGTGGACCTGGCCATGGATATACAATCACTACTACACCCCGCCGTCGTGTGTGCAACTAAGAATGGGCTCTTTGCACGGGATGAGGCTACCCCGGAGCTTACCGAGAGCATTACAACAGCCAAGTTCGCGCTCAAGTCATCCAAGCTCCTACTAGAAACCATGATTGAGGGTCGTGACGACTATCGGATGCGAAGAGAGGACATTATCGATTCCATCATTGATCTCACGAAGCTAATCAAGAATGCCTGCATTGTTCCTGTCGTTCAATCTCGGCGGTCTGGCGAGGCTCAAGACCTTTTCACTGCAGCATCAGCTCATAGGCCAGATCTACAAATGGTGCTGCTACTGTGTGGAGCAGTCCTTACCCGCTTTGCCACGTTGATGGGAAAATACAACCTGCCGGACCGGGCACTCAACACTTTGGAGTATCTGACGTTAGAACTGCTCGTTGAGCAGAACAGCGAGAACGAGAAGGACTCGGTGTTTAGTATCAAGAAGTTCGAGCATTTCCGCCAGAAAGTCATGGATGTTCTTGCCCAGATTTTTGCTCGATACCCAAGCCAACGACATTCAATTCTAAACGGTATTCTAGGCAATCTGGAAAAGCTGCCCGACAAAAAAGCGAGCGCGAGGCAATTCTTGTCGGCTCGTGAAGTCCCAATTATGACGATATCTGCACTTTTCATGCGATTTGTCCAAGTAGTCGCAACGAATCCGAGCACTCGTCTTGCGTCGCAAGGCGGAGACGTTGCTGGTGACATGATTGAAGACGATGTCAGCGATTACGAGCCTGGCCAAGCACCTTCGAAAGCCCGAAAGAGAGGCGCCGGCCGGACGCCGGCAGTCATTGCTCAAACTTTGACGGTGGAAGCCACCACCACGGCAATGTATATTGTAACCCAACTGTGCGACAAAGCCTCGAATACTTCCAAATCGGGCGATAAGCCATTCCGCAACCTTCTGGACTTATTCATCGACGATTTCTGTAACGTCCTTGGTTCTCCCCAGTGGCCGGCTGCTGTCATACTTTTGGAGAGGCTCTTGGTACGTATGGTTAACATACTCAAGGACGACTCAGCAAACAAACACTCCGTGGTCGACAAAGACATGGCACTTACAACAATGGCGAGGATTGGTTGTGGCGTGATCGATTTCAGAGACCAACTCAAGAAGATGAAGCAAAGGCTGGACGTTTCGCAGTCGGATCTGTCGTCAAGACTAGATCGTCTTGTGAATGATGCTATGAGCGAAGACGTCAAAGAGAGGGTCAATGATGTGGATCTGCTAGCTTTCGATGGCCCATACCGCATGGTTCTCGAATCATTGGTCGATTATCTCGATTTACGCCCCTCCCAGGATGACCCGCATCTGCAGGCAACGACTGGCTGTCATGTCAGCTCGTGGCTGACAGCTGTCGTCAAGACATTTTCAACAGTTCCAGAAGGAAATACAGATCACAGGCCGCAAGCAATACAAACTGTTCAGCAATGTCTGGAAAGCATGATTGCAGACCCCAAGTGGCTCGGTCAGAAGTAGTAAGTTTTCCATCTTCTTCGGGCTCGTTCCCCAGCTGACGGTGCTTGATAGCAAATTCCAATCTGTATCAGATGATCAGAGCAAACTCGCCGCGGGTGTCATCACTTTACAAAGTCAGGTGTGCAGGTACCTTTCGCAGATCGTCAACTATATGCAGGTGTACGCCCGGGACAAGAGCTCTTCGAAGCTTCGGACGAGAGGAACAGCAGGATTGCAACAACTGCTGGACAAAGACCCTCGGGTCATCTCCGAAGAACATGTCATCAACATGATCCCATCACTTAGAGACAGTTCACCGATGGTCCGAGAGGCGACGCTTTCGCTCCTGTCGAACTGCTTGGCCAAAGAGCCATCTCTGGAGCGACATGTGCTGCCACAAATTCTGGAAATGACCACAGATCCCTCAAACGGCCCCAAGAAGAAGGCCATCAAGCTACTCAAAGAGATTTATCTCCGCTCCACTTCAAATCAGATTAGGCTCAGAATTGCCGCTCCTCTACTCCTCCCTTCGCAGGATAACGAGAGTGCAATCTCCGAGCTGGGTCGCAACGTTCTCGAGGAGATATGGTTGACGGCAGCTAATAACAATGTCAAGACCGACGACAGCATGAACAGGCTCAATCGTGCTCAGCGAGCAGCCTTCATGGTAGATCTCTTGGACTCTATCGAGCAAAGCGCTGTACATTTGGAAGCTTTCGAGAAGTTCTTCACCCATTGTCTGTCGCCTGAAGCCAAAGGTCCGGCTGCTAATCGAAAGATATGCGGACAGCTAGTCGTAGACTTGGTAGACGAAGCCATTGCTCCCGGGACCGGTACGGATACCAAGTCTCAAGCTCGTGTTATGAACACCCTCAGTGTTTTTGCGAAGATCGAACCGACCCTGTTTACGCTCGATCATCTGCGCCATCTAAAGCTGTACATCAAGACCATCGCCACCACGGATGACGTGGCCCTCGTGCGGCCGACGGTCATCATCTTCCGGCATGTGTTGCCGACACTTCCCCCACTTCAACATGCTTTCGCAGAAGACATTCGAGCAAGTCTGATGCGCAACGTGCCTAAGCTGGCTAGATGCGCATCCATGGCTTGGGCTACAAGCAGAGAAACTCTCCTTGACGTCATTCACTGCTTATGGGCTATTAGCGAAATGCCAGGCATGGATGCTGACAAGATTTTTGCCACAGTCTGCTCTGTCATATGCAATCTTAGGCCACTCTTGGACTTGACTAAGGAGCAAGCCACCACTAAGGTTGACACTATCCTGTCCTATCTGATTTTGCTTGGTGCTTTTGGTCAAGTTTGCAGTCTGGACCAACAGATCGAGTCATTTACTATCAAGCTTCGTGCATCCATCAACAAGCACGACAAAAAGGAATATCTGAAGAAGCACCTGGAGCCGATGTTGAACCAGAAGAATCCACCTCCTCCCTCTCTATTCCTATTAGACACGGTCCGACCTTTCACCATGCAGATTTGGGAGCCCAAGATTCGCGAGCAAGCCCTGCAGAGTATGGGTGGCATATGCCAGCAGTCGCCAGAGCACTTCATGCGTGGTGAAGTGGAGAAGGTGGTTAAGCTTGTCTTTGTTAATGAAGGAAACGACACCCTGAAGCATATCGCACTGTCTTTCTTCAGGCAATTCTTCACTGTCGCTGAGCGGCGCTCGGAAACTGGCGCGCAAATTGCAACCGGTAAAGGAGCTGCCAATGGCTCCGCGCGCTTGGAAACGTCTTTCACGGCTACCGGAAACGACCACGCTACGCTGCATCTGGCACAGAAATTCTTGGAGTATTTCGTGAAAGCCGCGTTGGAGAACAAAAACGAGTCTGCCGTCGTTGCCACGGACATAATCGCTAGCATCAGTCGCCAAGGCCTTGTCCATCCAAAGGAGTGTGGTGCTGCACTTGTCGCTCTTGCGACCTCGCCTAACCCAGGCCTGGCTCGAGTTGCGGCCGACGAACATAAGCGCATTCACGAGAAGCAAGAGTCGTATCTGGAAAAGGAGTACATGCAGGCCATACATATGGCTTTCAAGTATCAACTGAACATGTTCGCTGATCCTCACGGCATGGTCGAAGCTACACACACTCCGAAACTCGTGAAGTTGTTTGAGGCATTGAAGACGGGCAAGAAAGCCAGTCTCAAAAAGTTTATCAACAACTTTTGCAAACAAGTCGACTTCGACCTTTCAAAGCTAGACATGAGTGGTACCATACCGGAGGCTGTCTTGTATGCCCGCTTTTGCTTGGAGAACCTGGCCTTGCTTGACTTCCCTCATCTAGAAGAGCTTGCTGTATTTCTTCATGCAATTGAAGCAATGGTTCTGAACACTACAGGGCCCGCTATTGGAGTCATCATCGCGGACGAACTTCCAAAGCAAGACGCGAATGCAGTGCAAGCTCAGCCTCAAGACATGTTTCAACAACAAATGTTGGAAGCTAGTGGAGCAAATGGATTTCCATCGATGCTACCAGCGACAATTCAGACAGCACCTCAAACTGCTCCTCCGACAATCAACAACGACAGACTTCGTCAGATCACCACAGCTTGTATGATACTGCAGATGGTGTGGGAAACTCGCACCTTTGTTCGAAAATGCTACTCCATGAAGAGTAACGCGCCCATTCCGCAAAAAGATTACATCAAGCCTGCGCATCGTAACAATCTCGTCACTGGCAAGGAAATTTGGGAACGCTTCGAAACGATCATGCGCGCTCTCGATAGCCGCGAGAGCATGGTGAAACAATGTTATGACTTTGCAGATTTACTGGATGTTGATCGCGAGACCTTCATTGACGTCGAAGGAGACGATGCACTTGCTGCAGGGTATGAGACACCAAACGAGACTGGCGACGATGGTACGCCATTCCCTACTAGTGGTCGTGGCAGGAAGAGGAAGAGCAATGTCAGCTTAGGCAACACACCGAAGAAGGCAAGGGGCAGGTCTGCTGGATCCAAGAAGAAAAGGAATTCTCGCACACCGGATGGCGATGGCGACTCAGACTAGCAGCCCTGATCAGTCAATCACCGGGTGCGACAGCAAGGGTACGCTTGCCACGGCGGTATTAAAACTACTACATCATCTCAACAAGCACATCAGCATCGTCGGCTATGCCACGCGGATCGGACGTTGCTTTTTTAAAACGTTTCAGCATACTTTAGGCGTTCAACGGAAAAGGCATATCATCGATACCCACCAGCATATGGTACATGGACAGGGTGTATTTGGCGTTTCTCACATCGTGACATCACAAGCTTAATGGCTTGGACGGCGATCTTCAGCATTTCATCATCGAGGCTATCCGAATCTAGAACAAGATATTATCAAAAGCTTCCATCGAGCTCTCGTGAAACAACTTGCATGCGATGAAGAAAACTTCAGGACGATAAAATGACTTTTGTTCTATATGCGATTTTGACATGTTGCCTCTCCCATTACTTGTTGACTCATCCCGTGGAGGTCTCCTGTTCTTTTGTTGTCATGTTCCTACGCATGCAATCCGCGCGTTGACATCTTATGGAGTCTTTATTGCGTCTCCTCCATGTTTCTAGCATCCAACAAGCACTTTTTTCTCCCCGGTTGTGAAGCTGTTGCCCACAATATGATTGTCATAGATATGCTCCACTTCCACGTCCTTTGCACCTCGCACAGTGGCAGACAAATCTTCGTCCGCGTCCCTCTCTTCCTTCTTCAGCTTTTCAAGTTCCGTGCTATCCTGAACCTCGGAGCCCTAATTCAAAGTCATCGCATGCGGTGGTTCAACACGATTCTTTTCATCTTTTGGGTCCATCTTGTGAGAAGGCAGAGGAGAATGCGAGATAGGCTCTACGCCACTGGAGTCGCTGCTATATCGCCGTTCATTATTCTCCACGTCTTTCATGCGCACTACGTCTGGACTGTGGTCATCTTCTGGTTTTGTAGAAGCACTGCTGGGCACCACTCCCGGCCCCGCATCAAGAGGCGCCACGTGTGCTATCACAGAGTCGGCCTCCGGAAACACGTCGGAAGATGGATAATGCAAGGAGACGGCATCAGCCTAGGTGGAAGCAGATTGAACAAGATCAGTCGCAATAGACTGCAAGTGCAAATTCGAGCCGTTGAGGGACGGTATCGATATGGGTGGGTGCGACTGAAGGCTTTGAAGGCGAAGCGCGCCGCTAGACGCTTCTTCTTGGATTTGTTTGCGCTGGCGGTAGGTAAGACCCGGTAAGAAGTCTGAGAGGTCGATTACGCGGACATCTGTCAGTCCTCCCTTTATTGTTTGTTAGCGGCGCATGTAGGAGAGAAAAGCTGACTATGATGCATACGATATCCATGTTGTCTAGATTGGGGTTTGGTTCGCGCTTATCGCAAAGTAGGGTTCGTTCTATTCTTATGATGATGCGGTTAAATGTCATTGTGTGGGTTTGAGGTCGCGAGATTTGGTAGGATTGGGGACGCGTGACTTTGATGTGCGGGATCTCGTTCGATCTAAAACGCGGTATAGAATATGCTGCGCTCTTACAAAAATGGCTGCGTCTGGAACAATTGAGCAAGGGGGGAAATGTTCTATGGTGACGCGACGAAGGCCTGGAGATGGGCCAAAAGCGGAAGGATCGCGATACTTGGTTCGCGTAGGAAGATGCTCGATAGATGCTTCTAAGTAAACACTAGATAAGCGCGAGCGAAGGTCTGAGAGTGTTGGCACCAAGTCTGCCTTAGGCGTTGTCGTGGCGCTGGGCCATCCCTTACGATTTCGCCCTCATTGTTCCGATGCTGACATTCTTTTGCTTTCGTTGGGGATGTAAGTGCGGGAGTGGTCGCTGCGGAATGTGAGGAGCTGGGCGAGCTTGATGGCTCGTGGATCTCAAACACGTGAACAAAGAACGAATCTGGGAATTGTGAGCAATAAGCCTTACCATGAGAAGTGCCGGATTTGGATCTGTATGCCACATGAGACTGCGATCATCAAGCTGATTGTTCGTATTTGGAGTGCGAGTGCTGGACGTATGTACGAGTTTTACACCACCATATGCTGGAGGTGGACATCGTCTTTAAGGCCAACAGCTTTCACTTGCTGGTGAAGATGTTTATTTCTACACGACGTTTCAGAGTACTAGACGGGCGCTATTGGGTACCCAAGAATCTGTGGCATTACGACACAAACCCGAGAGTCGTTTCCACGCGGTCGTGCGCGATGCATACTAGCAGCGATCCAGCAACATCAAGGAGTACTTTCGTAACCGTCGTGTCATTGAACCTGGGTTCGACGATTTTACCCATGTTTAAGGATCGCCGATGGCGTGTGAGCTGAAGTCGAGCAGTCTTCATTGTGTAGGATCTTTGTTGTCTGAACTAGAATACCATTGATCATCGCTCGCAAGGAGATCAAGTCCTCCACATACCAGTAATGCTTGTCTTCCCCATGTCGTGTTATCTATTTTGGGTAATCCTTGACGTGGTAGCTCTTGAGCTTGACGAACTGATCGAAGCCGAATTTGCTCAACGTCTGACCTCGTCCAGAATCCTTCCATCCGACCCACGCCAGATCCTGAGTTCGTTAGTGAGGTGTTTTATATAGTCCTAGAATAACTTACCGGTGCGGGGTAGTCGCATCGGTTTACGAAGACTGTGCCGGCCTCGACGTCATCGGCAAGCTCGTGACCCTTGTTCACATCTTTGGTCCATATGCTAGCCGTCAGTCCGAATTGGCTGTCGTTCATTAATTTGATTGCTTCTGCGTCATTCTTGACCTTCATGACCGGGATGACAGGACCGAAGGTTTCCTCTGTCATTACGGTCATGTCATGCGTGACATTTGTCAAGAGTGTCGGAGCCACATAGTTGCCATCTGCAGGTGGGTTCTTGAAACTGGCGTTGTCTGGGGTAGCGTCCTTGGCACCCTTCTCCAGAGCATCCTTGACGTGTGCCTGAATAGTCTCTGCTGATCGCTTGGAGACTACTGGGCCAACATGTGTGTTCTTATCGAACGGATCGCCAAGCTTGTATCCGCTGAGTACGTCTTGAAGCGCCGATACGAATTCATCATGTATCTTCTCGTCGACATACACCCTCTCAACACTGCAGCAACTCTGACCGGAGTTGAAAACAGCGCCGTCTACAAGTTCTTCCGCGGCCCATTTGACGTCAACATCGGAGCGTACATATGCAGGATCTTTGCCTCCAAGTTCAAGGCCCACTCGTAGCGGTACGCGGTCATTTGCAGCCTGCTGAACCGCAAGGCCATTGGCCACCGATCCAGTGAAGCAAACCAGCTGAATCTTGGGCGAGCGCGCGATTGACTCAATCTGGACGATGGATCCGCTGTGGAAGATTTGAAGCACACCATCAGGTAATCCGGCTTCCTTGAAAATCTCCTGGATCTGCTCGGCACTGGTCGGCGTTTGTGGGGACGGCTTCAGGATGACCGAGTTGCCGGCGAGGAGAGCAGGTACTAGCGAGTTGATGAGGGTCAGATACGGGTACTGCAGGTAAGTCAGCATGTGCCGACCAAAAATAGCTTATGGCTGCACGCACATTCCATGGAAACAAGATCAATACGGGCCCGAGCGGGACTTTCTTGATGTAGCGCTTGAAACCTTTCTCCGCCTCGCCTGGAGTATCTTGAAGTGTCTCTTCACTAATCTTGAGTAGATATTCGCCGCGCATCACCGCTGTAGTAACTTCTTTGGCAGTGTACGCGATAGGACGGCCCATCTGCTCAGTGATCTCCTTACCCAGCACGTCCTGGCGGTCATTGAGCAGTCTTAGCGCTTTCTTGACAATCTCTTTCCTTTCAGCAAGCGATGTGCGTCGATAGGACTCGAACGCAGTGGCGGCTGTTTCAGGCAAAGATTGGAGATCTGCATCTGAAAGGCCATTGCGTGTGACAACTGGCTTGTTCGTAATGGGAGAGATGGTCGTGATCTTCTCCAGCGACATGATGATGGTGTGTGTCTGGTACGTGGTTTATTTGGATAAATGAAGATGAAGATGCACGGCGTGACGATTCAGTGGCGTCTTGGGAGCAGTTAATTTTGAGTTGAGGCTTTGCCCGCAGTTGCATCGGAGATGACGTATGACGTATGACAGCGCTAACGCTAGCTCGTGCACGTCCCATTATAATGAAGGACTCTCATGGCTTCACGCCGAAAAACGGACTTCATTGTCCGCTATCGACAAACATAACGGCGCGCTCTCCGAAAACTCAATATGAGCATAAAAAATTGTTATGAGACATGCTCATTGCGTGAGATGCTCAGAAGACGCGTCGAATAACATCAGTCCGCTGCGTTGGTTGCCAGCATCGACGCGCCGACGCTATCCACGCAAACCTGGTAATATTCAAGCACACGTGGACCTCCTATCTTGTGCAACCGGGTATGCTCATAGCTGAAGTCGAAATACTGGAGTGCAGATAGTGCGAATTCGGGCCTTTTCTGATCACCTCACCATTATGTAGCCGATGTGTGCGCAAGCGATCAGGCAACGCCGTGTGCCGTACAATACAGTGCAATGATATTCGATGGCTGCCGCGCCCTCAACATTTGAAGAGAACAGCATGCTGGTGCGGCGTCGCCGATTCGTTGACATAGCCAAATTATGAGAGTGCCACCTGCACAGTGTGGAGATAAGAGCTACAAGAGTTCGGCAGGTGTACCGGCGGTATCCTCTCGCTGGAGGCAACGTCTACAGAGCCGGTTCCGCACCCACCACGTAGTGTCCCGGGCGACTTGTAAGACTGTGGCACCTAGGTATGCTGCCCGTCCCGGGCTAGAGACGCCGCTACCTGCACCTTTACGACTCATCTTGAGTAGTCACTTCCACCTTTCATCTTTCGGAATTCTACTGATGTTGGACCTTCGCAGGTGAAAATAGCCTGGGAGATGTAAGAGAAAGGTCAACAACTTGTCACAATTCTGCTGAACGACACATCTGCTCGACAGAGTTCACCCCAAAGACCCACGCAAATGACGCGAGGCTCGACTCCGTATCGAAAGTTGACCTGGCACTGGAAGTGTCCTGACCGTTCTGGCTCTCCGGCAGTGGTGGCGAGTTTGGCTCCAACCTTGAGCGTCAGCATGGACCGCAGAAGATCATAGGTCGTACATGGTTCTGCCAACGGTGCGTAACTTGGCGGCATGGCCGGCCCTCGCTTGCGCCCATCAATCAAGTCCACGCGTTGCATGCGGCGGCGGCGTCAAGAGCTGCGCATGCAATATCTAGATGTCACCAAGGCCAGCCCAACTCGGAGCTGGGGAGCCGTCGTGCCTTGCGTATCTACCCTTCCTGCTCCAGGCTGCAGGTGTATGGGAGCCCACAGGAACGAAAGCATTGAGCCCAGGTTGCAATTGTTCCTTACAGGGTATCCTTCTGTCACTCGGTCTCAGGGCACAGATTTGCAGTGGGTGACATGATAGGCCTCTCCACTCTTTCCTGTAGCTTGTGAGCCTACGCCCCTTCAGATAATCCGCGGATGTCGATCCGGACTTTCGATGAGAAGGCTGTCAGCACGAAGATCTGGACTTGATTGAGTCACTTCTAAGTTGCCACCATACAAGCTACCTGGACCCTTCTTCCGCCGTGGGTGTGGAAGCGGCAGCGAGAAAACAATCTGATGATGTTTTCACACGGTGCCGGCAATGCCTTCGTTTACTGACGGTTTCTAACATGAAGTCGACAACAAAGCTAAGTCGAAACTTTGTAACTTGCAATCCACTGATATACACTGCCCTTCGTGACCGTCGGTAACCGCTTGAACCTTTTATCACTGTCGCGCCTTTGCCCTTCAGTCTGTACCTAGACTCACAAGGCTGCTAGAGTCACCATTTAAACAGTCCTATACAGTTGCTCCACGTCTTTGTAGTTCCAGACTGGGCGCCGGACCGGTTTCCTCACACCAGGAGGGTACGCGATACTTATAGCGGTTTGTCATAAGACGCACAGTCTACCACCTGCTGGACGCGATGAGCTCACTACGCCGTAAATCATCGGGGTTGATCACCTGACCTTCATTAACATTACGGAAATGAGCATGCACAATTTGATTCTATAGTTGCTGAGCTGTCTGAGCCTCGCTCTGCAGAACCCTAAGTCTGGTACCATGTCCTGGCTTATAGTGGGCAGGAGAAGCTTTGTGTAAGACGGTCGTGATATATTGCTTGGCTGTACCTGACGAATTTCCTTATGTTAGGTGGCCGACCTGATATCCAAATCTTTACAAAGACTACCAAAATCATGATAAAACTCCCCTGAGACATTCTAGTTGCTACAGGCGGAGTCACAAGGTTCCGGATCAGACCTAGTAACGAGAACCTTAATTTCGACTTGGACCTTGACTGAAAGAGCTTACGTCGTCCAGGATGAATGCAGGCCAAGTCTTCAATAAAACGCTTCTAAGCCACCAGGAAGAGCGGTACATATCTAGAAAGCGGAGCGATCCGTTGGCTTCGCAGCGTTGTAGAACAGAGAGGGGATGCCTAATCAACAAGCGTTGTCGCCCAGTGGTAATTATGGAGATCTTTCAGCTGGATGTTGACCACGAGACATCGTACAGGCAGCTGTCAGTAAGCTAGTCAGGTTCAACGCAGTCTCGCCGTAGCAAAACGCCCTCGTTACCAAACTATAGACACTCGCCCTAGCTAACAACTAGGGCGGAGGAGGCCGTACCGTGGGAACAATCGGCGCATAGCATACGTTTTTAGCATCGCTGGCGCCACTCGCTTCGGAGAACCGTTGTACAGGCCAGGTATTTCCGCGTGTAATGTTATAACGCGACGTGTTATAGACGAGAAAATTGTGCACACCAGGTCAACTCCAGCTTTGTCTTGGCAGGTATATATCTGCGTGCTGCAGGTGGTGAACCTGGCTCGTTCATATTTATGGAGAGGTACATAATATGCATTACCGAAGTGAATGAGGACAGACTGTTATGCGAAGCCTGTCTAGGTCCCCAGAGCCGACGTAAGCGAACTTTTTACGTGACGATTTTGGTCGTCGATTCTTTCGTCTGAGCTGGCAAGTGAGAACTGGAAAGTACAACGTATGGAGCGTCTGAAGTGCATTTCCCAGTTCTCTTGTTTCGCGTAATTCATGTCTCCCTATGGCGGCAGGTTTATGAGAGGAGCGAAGGTGATCAGCGCAGGCCCCAACAGATTTCGGATTATTCGCTGGGGTGCAGATGACCGGCAGGACAGTGGGTAGCGCTGGATGTCAGGATGCATCGTGAGCCAGGGGACGCGTATTGGGGCTGCGACTAGGAAATGGCTGTCCCGCGGTGGTCGCGTAGAAGGGAGTCTAGGCGATGGAGACTGCCAGGTCCCGTGCTGTCAGCGGCTCGCCTGCTAACGCACTGCTGCACGGGCGGCGGTCGCCAATCATCAACCTGGCACCCTGTTCTGATCGCTCAGCAACGGGAAACGGGCGGAGGTGTGGTAGCAGGTGGGTCCTGGGCACGGGCAGATACCTCAAGGTACTTGTTGAGCCGGCATCGGTACGCCGCCTTTCTTAACACGACGCCATATAGGGTCGGGATGGCACCGATCAACCAATATGGTTTTTGATTGCCAGTCTAACCTGCGGCGATGCTCCGTAAAAGTCCGCGGCAACGAAGATCCAGCGGCTTTCGTGGACTGTGCTCAACGTGGAATGTTGGTGTGCAGCAAGACCCTGGCCGTGCAGGGGGGAATTGCTCGAACTAGAGATGGAGGAACGGAAGGCGAGTTAGACTCGAAGACGCACGCACCCACGAACATGCGTGCCCTGTTGCCCATCTCGTTTGCAGCATGTGGCCAGAGACGTCTCTAACGCGCGATGCAGCTGGTCCCGGAGAAAGGACCTAGCTGTCCATGCCGATTCGGTATCCTCACCCTGCACCTCCAGGCACTGGACAGTTCTGTGTTATAGCCCACTGCGTCCACTAAGGTTGAGCTTTGAGGCCGAGACAGTACCTAACAACCGAGTGCTATATGGTACCCCAGGCGCACAGCAGTGGTCAAAAGACGGCCTTTGGACAACTGACCTGCATACCTCTCTGACGTCCCTCGACGACATAACCTTGGAATTCCAGCCCTGTGCTGACATCTCTCAGCCTTGTTGCCAGCTCTTCGCCCTTCGCCACCCCTTGGACAATCTGAACTCAGACTCCACCGTCACTTCCCGCGTAACTGACACTTCCCGACCTATCCTCGAGTGGTGGAATTGTAGTGGAGACGGACGCTAGAACGCAGTTATGCTTTCCACGAATCTCCATCAATACCCCTCGGCGTTCAGCCACCTCCCCGCGCCGAACATGGTCGAACATCAACATCATCATCTCGCCGCCCAGCACATGGGGCAATCACCACTCGACAACCTCGCGCATACATCACAATACGCAGCCCTGCAATTTCATCAGAACCGGCATGTGCTGCCAAACGGAAAAGGACTTGTCAAGCCTCATCGGTTACCGTACACCAGTGGTCCTATAGCGCCTCGACACCAGCGAGACATGCTCCATGAGCGGTCGGGACGGGGTAACTCAACGTCTGGACCAGTGCGACGCAGGATCAGCCGAGCTTGTGATCAGTGTAACCAGTTGCGAACGAAGTGCGATGGTAGACAATCTGTAGGTCCTTTCCCAGGCTGTCGAGTTCTAAATCAATAAGCTAACGGTGTGAGTAGTGTGCGCATTGCATAGGTACGTTTTGATTCTATGGAAAGCTCGGCGGTGGATGAACCGAGTTGAGGACCATCTGCTTAGGCGACCAAAAGTTACTTTTGTAGCGTCTGCTAGAGGCTCTTAGCTACGGGGCTAAAACTGCCGTTCACTTCCCGTCACCCATGTACTACCTCTCTGACAGCTTGGCTAACACAGTGTCAGAATTCGGATTGACGTGCGAATACATACGTGAGCGCAAGAAACGCGGAAAGGCATCGCGGAAGGATCTTGCCCAACAGCAGGCTTCGACCGCCACGGGGGGCACTGTTGCGCCAAAGTCCGAGGATTCTAGCACCCCGCAATCGTCGGAGAAAGCTACCGAGTCTATTCACGGCAATAGTCCCAAGCTTCCTGAAGGTCAACGCTCTCTGCCTGAGCTACCTGGTCGATCGGCCAGTATTGCGACAACACGACCCGAGATGGATACTGCGTCAATGTATCAGAACAGGACGATGAGCATGGGCGCAATCGACACTATGCCAGAATCCGAAATGCACCATCAAATGACCGAGAGCATGCAATCTATGCATCCTATGCAGCCGCCCCGATTACAGACTCAAGGGCTGTCTATGCACAACCCAATGCCCGAGTACACGTCGATGGAGGAGTATCACCGAAACCTTACCTATCAATCACCGCTTCAAATGATGCAGCCTGGAATGCAGCCCGTTGTACCTTCGCACGGCCATGGGATGGAGTACTCTGACAGCCCCTACAGTATGATGAGCCCGCAAAGCGCACATACACAAGCACCGACGAATAGCTTCAGGATGCCCGAAGAGGCATCCAACATGGGTTACATGCCTCAATCACCAGTTGATGGATCGCCTGGTTGGATGCTGCCTTCACCTTCTACAACGATGTACTCTGGCGCACAACATCAGAATCCCTCTCAGCAGTTGAGATACCCTGTTTTGCAGCCGTTAGTACCACATCTCGCAAATGTCATGCCGATTCCACTAGCTTGCGACTTACTAGAACTCTATTTCCAGAGTTCATCAACTGCGTTCATGCAACCAGTCTCACCTTACGTACTAGGCTACGTCTTCCGAAAGCGCTCTTTCCTCCGTACCAACAACCCTCGCGTGTGCAGTCCAGCACTGCTAGCAAGCATGCTCTGGATCGGCTGCCTGACAAGCGAATCCCCATATCTATCCTCATCGCCATCTGCGCGCAGCCAATTATCGGAGAAACTTATCAATCTGACTATCAGCCTCTTGAAGCCGCTTGTGCATCAAACTCCAGGTGGCCCCGATGCATGCCCTACGGCGTTCAACGGTAACGGCCCGATCAATGGCGTCACCATGGGTAGTTTTGGTATGCCCGCACAAGATTCCGACATTGGTTTGTGTAAGTTACGAATCCAGGCTCAGATCTCCGAAGCTCCCTTAACTAACATGATGGTAACAGCGGGAGCGCCAGGAGGCCTTGACGACGTAGCAACCTATATGCACTTGGCCATAGTGATCTCGGCAAGCGAGTACAAGGCTGCATCACTCCGCTGGTGGAACGCCGCTTGGTCACTGGCTAGGGAACTTAAACTTGGCAAGGAAGTGCCTGTGACACCGCCTCCCGAGCCGAACGATGATGATGCACCAGGACACCTAGATGCGGAACACATGGGCGCAGGATACCCAACCAGTCAACACACGTCCATGGACTTTACAGAAGAGCAAAGAGAAGAGCGCAGACGTATATGGTGGCTGCTGTTCACTGTTGATCGGTAAGCCATCTGATCTTTGTCAACCGTGACACTCGCAGCATGGCATTGCTCGACTTCTGCCGACGTCGTTCTTGCGCATCCATCAGATCTGCCCGTCAACACACGCTGATCGCTCAACAGCCACCTAGCGTTATGCTACAACCGACCCTTGTCTTTATTAGATGTCGAATGTTCGGGCCTTCTGCAGCCACTTGACGATAACGTATGGCAATCTGGCGAATTCTTCGAGGACTCCGCTCAATCGTTTTCAGATTCCACACTTCGCCGACGATCTCGAGGGCCTGCCTTTGAGTGCACCGGACACTCCATTTTCGGATTTTTCCTACCTTTGATGACTATCCTTGGGGAAATTACCGATCTATATCATGCTCGCAACCACCCCCGTTTTGGCACAAAGACCGACTGGGATCACCACGCGCTAGAGATCAGTCAACAGCTGGTAGTATATGGGCGTTCACTCCAAGAGTTGCGGAATCGCGCAGTGAACGAGGCCAACGCTGAACGCGAACCATCACATCCTGACACACCATCCGGCCGGTCTGTCAACTCTACGATGTCCAGGGCGCAAGAGTCTTTGATGCATGCTAAGATTGTGGAAGCATATGGCACGCACCTCATGCATACGCTTCACATCTTGCTCAATGGTAAATGGGATCCTATCTCGCTACTTGATGACAACGACCTCTGGATATCTTCGCAAAGTTTCGTCGATGCGACTGGTCATGCAGTATCAGCCGCCGAAGCATTGAATGAAATTCTGGAATACGACCCGGACCTAAGCTTCATGCCGTTTTTCTTCGGCATCTACCTCTTGCAAGGGAGTTTCCTGCTACTGCTCATAGCCGACAAGCTGCAAGGAGATGCAAGTCCGAACATCGTGCGAGCATGCGAAGTCATAGTGCGCGCGCATGAAGCATGCATCGTCACCCTCAATACCGAATATCAGGTAAGTGGCGCAACCAACCAGTCCGTCGTTCTTACCACAACTTTTGGCGACCCCACTGCAGCAGTGCTCTGCCAAGATCATTATTCATGCTAACACCTTGCAGCGAAATTTCCGCAAAGTCATGCGTTCTGCTTTGCAGCAAGTGCGCGGCCGCGGCATGGACGAACACGCCCAACTTGCGCAACAGCGTCGGCGCGAAATGTTGAGTCTCTACCGTTGGAGCGGCGACGGCACAGGGCTCGCACTCTGAGCCGCGTTTGAGCCTCGCTTCGCCGACCCTTGTCATTCCGGAACCATAACACCGCCTTTCGCAACAGTACAGCAATACACGCCCTGTTACCTCCCCAAGGGGAGGCCAGGATTCCTTTCACTCGGCTGCGACTAGTTGCACACTTGGAATTATTCTAGGCCGCCACTTGGCTCACCTTTCGTGCGTTGGTAGCATTACCCTATACCCTGACATCACTATGTTTTCCATCTTGTCGAGGTTCCTTTCCTTTCCTCCGGCGCGGGCCAGTGGCCATGTGGCTGCCGCCTAGCTTCATCAGGGCTGATGCCCACGATTAGTGCGATGTACGATTTCACGTATACTGGTTTTCGGCGTTATACCATAATGTGTTCGCCCCTTGAGATATTGGTGTGCGGACTGGCGGCGCGATCGTTGCGAGGGCGTTCTGGTACTAAATTTTATGCACGCCATCTTGATGCACAGGTTTCTTCAAGTATTTTACGTCATGTTTCGAAAAGCGCAAAGTCCTTCGCGTGTTTTTGCCTGTAGCGTCGGGTACAGTTACTCCTAGACCTGATATCGTCAGCTTGCCTGTACACGTACGGAAGTGCCCTTCTTCTCCTTGCTTCGCTTCTAGTACACAGTGGAGAATAATGGGTAGTCAATAATTTAGCGCAATAGCCACACCTCGCGTATACACGCAACTGAACAATCCTGACTTAACAGCCCTTTACCAACTTGACGGCCAGATAGAGCCACAAAGAAAATCACACAAGTACGGAGCAAGGCCCTGTGCCATGCCAACAACGAGTCAGTGATATGGCTACTACGATCGCTTGTCCTGGCCACTTTTTAGGGCCAACCATCTATCTAACTCATTGTCTCGTGATGCTATAGCCAGGTTCGATGTTTCAAAAGTATACCCCTGCGTTTGGCAAGCCCCAAGCTTCCTCTGCGGGGCCCTTGACTGGATCGAGGGCCTGAACACGACTAGACACTACTTCGAGCCCAACGTTTTCGCTGGTTTGAATTGGATGTGGAGGACTTGAATCATTGCCGTGGAAGTTGGTGGGCCACACGTGCTGACTACTGTGCCACGAAAAGTCTGTTGGCCAGCCATGGTAAGATGTGATGCCATGGCGGCGTAGCGATACTCGGGGACAGGAGTGTTTGGCCGCCAGCGCTTCAATGGAGTATACCAAACATAGGGTGACCCTGTTCAGGTCAAGGATTTGCAGAAATTTGTGCGAAAGACCACATTTGGTACGTAGCTAGCGCTGCCGGTACTTGGGCACCCAATATGGTGTTGCCTTCCCGCTACCAAACCTTCGCTTTGCCATGCGGCCCTTCCTCGTCTTAGTATACCAGCGTTCGGCTTCCCGGTCCACGACCCTACCCGGTGGAACGTCAATAATCTCCGGCACGAGGGCGTCTCTTTACCAGTACCAAAGATCTGTCGCATGCACGTTCATAGCCCTAGTTAGATCAACGACAGAGATTTCGCCAGCTGCGAAGTATTGGAACCATTGCTGAGGACTGGTAAGACGTGAGGCTTTTCAGGATATCAACGTGATTGGATAGGAATAAGTCACTTCCGTCGCAGGTAACTGTTCCTAAGGCACAGGGTACGGAGAGCATACACCGGGGCTACATCGAGACATGCAAGGAATATTGCCCTGCTATGCACCCCAGATCTGTTGAGCTTTGTTGGGACGCGTCGTTGGTCAATACTGTCTAGGAAGCCTGGAACTCGACGGGTCAGTGACCTCCCGCATCTCCCGAGGGGCCCTGCTGCTTGAACCCTTGTAAGCAAATGCCCATCTCGTGTAGAACTTGACTCACTACGGAGAAGGGCATCGAACTCTGGGATCGGCTACAGTACAGCCAGATGCCCAGCTTGGGCTCGTGAGCCGATGCGATAGTCACAGCTGATGATAAGATCTTGCAGCGTGGGGAGCGCATTAACAGTAGTGGATCGCGAACACGTAATTCACTGTCATCAGCGCGCTAACATTTGTGCAAGTGGTGGTGTGGATAAGATTGTTCAAGCCGCCTTAACACCTCAACTAAGAAGTTGTGAATGCCTTCAACTCCACAATCCCAAAACGAGAGTCATATGACATGCACGCTGCAAGCCCCTTTCATTACAGGTAGACCTCAGCACCGGAGCCCCTCCCTATTCTCCGCTTCATCTGTGCATGACCCAGTACAAAGGAATAGCAAATCCAGAACATGACGAGACAAATCACGGTGACACTGCAGTACTTCACGGTAGTCCTGCGTGTAATACCGAATCAATTTGGCCGCCCCATCTCCACGTCTGCATCATGTGGCCAGGGCAAGCGCCACCTTCTCAACGTGCTTCTCCGCATTTTAGGGCTTCTATGGAAGCTGCAACATATTGAGGGGCTCATCTAAAGAGATGAAAAGAAAGGGGAACGTCTACGAAGGGCACAAAGACCCCACACGCCGCACTGTGCACTACCGCACGAGTTCGCATGCGGAGAATACTGAGACAATGTCAAAGCGCATGGTACGCACCCTGCGGGCCATGGGGGCTGCGTCTGCCGCGTGGTGACGTTGGACAATCAACGTGGATACCCAAAGTCCGGAATGCGGTGAGCAAGCAATGGATCACTGGCTCCTCGGTGTTCAAAGAGTCAGCCACGATCCGAAATTGCGGCTTGCTCTGAGAGAACGGGTCATTCTCTGACAGATCGTCGCGAGCCGTTGCGGCAACAGGCAACTGGAACCGGTTTTTGGATGTCAGATATCACAGACGTCCTTGAGTCTGCTATGACCCTATCCTAGTATGTTCTTGGCGTGCGCTCTTGCGCGATGTCGGCTGGCGAAATGGTTCGCACATGCACGCTCTAGAATGGTGAGATGGCGTGCGGCTGGCGTGAGGCTTGCAGGTACTGCGCCAAATCCGTGCTGCTCTGTCTTTGAGAGATTACTGAGCTCCGTCGACCCTGACCGGAATGAGACGACATGCGATGGTGGCTAAGATCGAACCACGCGATGGAGTACGAGACGCACGCGATGGCAATGTAGAGCGCTTCCACAGCTCGCCACGAGTAGAAGTGACCGACACGATCGACGCTTCAGGATGTGGGGAACGTGGTAGGTAGGGGTTACAGCAGCTCGGGCACATGGGTACCCCTTCACTGGTTGCAGCTCGGTTGTACCCACAAGTACTCCTCGACGCTTGCGTGCTTCGCTGTCATTTGTTTAGATCTCGGTAATCAGCGGGCAGGGATGACCATTAAGGCAACGACAAGGATATGAGAAGTGGACGGGCGACCGTTTTGGCTGCCGTCAGCTTTTAGCCTGATAGCGGGTCGACTTGGTCTTGGTAGAGGAAGCGGGCGTCAGCCACATGTATATATCGACCTATAATATGGATGCTTTGCTAGGTCGACCAGATTCGATCCCAGACCCTAGAAAGGCGTAACGTTGAGGTAAGCGACGTCAAAGTTACTGCGGATGACCGATGAAAGTCTTGGCTATGTGGAGGGTCGTCCCGAGGAAGGCTGCTTACAAGCAGCGTGCCGTAAGAAGGAGTGTCACAATGGTGTAACCGCACTTTGGCGAGAAGCAGGCCACGTCGCAACCCTTCACAAGGTTACTGATCTTCACATGTCAGCCTCACGCTGGCTCTGTCTGAAGGATTCACAATCCGTGTCGAAAGTTCGAGACCCACATGTCGTTGCGTTCGGCATCACCGGTGCTAGGCTCGCTGTATCCTGATAGAGTTTGACCCCAGAGTCCGTCTCGATGTCTCCGCCAGTCAAAGCTCCGAACCGATCTGGTAGCCCACAATAACAGGACCAGATCAAGCAGTCATTCTGTTAGCATATCGAGTCCTAGAGGCCGGTTCCAAGAGCAGTTACCAAGGCTGCGTTGGCAGAAGGCGAAAGCCGTTTCAGGTCAAGCGACTGCGTGCATGCAGTTCAAGACTACTAACTGTTCGTAAATGCACGAGGGAAACAGCGGCACGGCCCTAGCACCTGCAGAAAGCTCCTCTTTCCGAAATACTGGACGTCTGGCAGTTATCGCTAATGCGAAGTAGACGCCAATTATCACCCGATGTCGTCTTTTATTGACGAAAATAATTTTACAGCCAATCATGACCTCCAGAGCCAATAATTGGGTTGATAATGGTTGCATGGCTTTGGCCTGGAGCTCTCGGAACCCGTAGCCACATCTGGACTTCCGACCGGCCATGCTCGAATAGGCCAGAGCTGCTGTAGATGCGCAGGATCGCGATGCAAGCGTCGAGTATACTTACGCGACTTCGTAAACCTCGCTTCGCGCGTCTCCTCAATGGAACTTCCCGCCCATAGACCTATGGTTCTTGTTCACGTGCTGCGTCCGGGTCACCATAACGACATTCTGTAAAAAAGAGAATCAGTGTTGAGAGATCGGCAAGTACTTCGAGATTGTACCCTGTGCAAGACGGCACCCTAGCAGCATCGGGAGCTCACCCGCCCGGTCAGCAGCGGGCGGCATGGCATAAGCCGAGCGCCTTAATGCGATTGTCTCGAACGCCAGATCCAGTCCCAAACCCAGCCCAAGCCCTCCGGGGAGACGTATCAATAGATGCGCATCTATAATCGGCAGGCCAAAGCTATAACAACATACTGTTATTACGATGAACGTGAGGATGGATCAGCCGTGGACGAGTATGCCCTCCGTTATACTCCTAACAAAAACGTATCTCCACATACCGACGGCATCCTGCGGATACCTAAAGTTACTCGTAGCTACTCATGGCTACCTGCAAGGTGTTGTCAGGTACCCCTGGATGAACTGTAACAAGTTGACAGGTTCGTGGACCATCGGCCCTGGCGTCCTGGAGCAATTAAGGCCTTCGAGAAGCTTTCCGAAACCATGCATTGCTTCAGAATTGGTATTATCATAGCAAAGAGCTGTTAAGATACCCTTTGCGCTTTTGGCCTCGGTCTTCAGTTGTGGGGTATGCAATACAAGCAGGGTTCCCGGCAATATTCCCCAGGTCCGCCAAGGTGATACCGTGGTATAGATTGTACACGAAAACTGCCTAGGCAAAGAGGCGCGCTGAGTCCGCAGTCCCACATAGCATCCTGACATATTCTCAGAGTTTGGACTGCTGAAGACGCCCACGAATTCTGCGAAGATCAACGGGCCTGAAAAGTCGACGTTTGGCAAGGTTCATGGCGACAGCAGGGCCAACTCTTCAACGATGTTTGAAGCTTGTAAGGGGTAAGCTTCACGAGCTTAGCCGTGATCTTCCGGGAGCAGGCTGCGGCGTCGAAGCGGAATGTGGAGAAGCTTGATCGCAATCGTGTAGAACTCCATCTTGGCACCTAACGTATCGCTACGTGCCGAGCATGGACATGCCAATTTTTGAACATCGGTCGCGCAGCTGCAAAAGAAATCCAGGGACAGAAACACGCCTTGCTGCATCCACTCCGGGTTGACGAGACTGCGTCATATTTCTGTACTATATTTTCACGCATCTTCCCGTACCCTGATGCGCTTGTTGCCTGCCCCTATTGGAGCACAAAACCACTAGACTTAGATCAGTCTTTCAAGAACGCAACGTGTCTTATACAAGTCTTGAAATACGGAGTATAGGGGTATACGTGAGGTCGTAACTATAGTACTGCACGAGCTACCAACATTCGTGTGACTGCAGGTATGCAGAATAATTAGGAGGTGATTTAGATGAAGGGCCTTCGACGCGTCTCGGGCCGAATTGTAGATATTGGACGCCGCAGGCTACGTCTGGCAGCACACCGATGTGTGAGAAAGCTGCTGTGTTGTGCTCGACGGAAATGGGGCGTACGAGGTTTGTTTCCTCTTGTGTCATGAACAGGTCAGCATAAATTGCATAGGGCGCTCAATAGCCGGGAAGCTACGGCAGATTTCGAGAAAGCACTTACATTGATGAGTGTGTTGGAAACGTGACGTGGTCGCGATAGAACCTTGGAACCTTGGAAGAGTTTGAAGCTTGGGCCGTTTGTTCTCGTAAATGATGTCTTGCCGAGATCATACCAGCACTCAGCCTCTCTCACGTGCGTTGCGCCCATCTTCTTTTCCATCTAATCTTTTTGATGTGTTCACGACATTCAATGCCTCAATACAAGTTGCGCGAGGTAATCAAAGTGCTTCTGACTTCGATATGTGAAGAGCGAACTGTCGAGCCCATGCACAAGTGGAGAACCTGACCATGATGCCCAGTTGAGAGGTCGGAGCGCATTGTCAACCGGCAATCGTCGCATTATCTCGGCGCGCCCGGTGAGCTGCTTCATAATGCGAAACAGTTCCGTCGAAACTGGTACGTGAATCGTGAACATGAGTCGGACAGTGCCTTGCATCATCGACCGAGTACAGTACCCGCTCGTCTTGGTGTATCTCCCAGCCATCTCTTCCATCTCTTTTTATCTGGTGCTTCCATAGTCTTCTGTTCCGAATGGTTTTTGATTCAGGATCTCTATCATACACCACATCTCGCACATGGTGCTCAGCAAATCTTGTTGACCCATCCACCGGCATCATCATCTCCACCATTTACAGATGTCGAACGCCATCCTCAGCATCGAAGATGGATCCCCACTCGCATGAGAGCCACCAGAGCATCTCTTACACATATATCACTCCTCTTACAATCTCCGTCGCATTACTCAAATCTCCCAACGCCCATGAGGACGCCACAGCCTTTTATCCACCAATCGGTAAGCCACACGGCAACCACCTCAAGCCACATGTCACCAAAATTAGCAAACAATACTCCTACTACCTTCTGGAAAGAGCTTGGAAGCATGCAGGAACGATCCTTGATGAGCAGTGCAGGCGCTTAGGGAGATGTTGGTGGTGGTGGAGCAGGCTTGTGTGTGGATTTGCGGACAATTGCGATCTACAGCTTTGACGATGCTGCGCGTACAATATGTACGATGAGATTGTGTTGGTGGTAGACGGACGGACGGACGGGTAGAGGCGAAGAGGAGGGATTGCGATGGCTTGCAGACTGCAGTCGCGGAGATGGAGCGGTTCTTGGTAAAGTGAGTATTTGCAGCAGATTACTGGCCGGAAGCTTAAACAGACGGTCTGGAGAACAGGTTTTTTTCTTGAGCCATTCGATATGACGATTGTCGGAACCAGCTGGAGATCGCTTGCTCATTGTCTCCGTCAGCGGATCCATAAGGACCGTCCTTTTTAGACTATATTCAATTTAGGTTTAACAGAGAATCGATTTTTACTGCACATTGGTCAGTTGATACACTTCTGCTTCGCACACCTGCGCGCTGTAAAGCTCTCTGCGGCTATACAGCGCCTACACTCCAGTAGTATCGGCTTTGGGCTTTGTAGTGACACGGAAAGAGTCAGATCTGGTCGTCTGGAGTTATGACAGAATCGAGGTGTAGGAGATATGAATGGACATGCCATTGCATGGGATATGGTAGATAAACATCGATTCAAGGGTCTGTCAGAGGTAGTCACATTCGGTTGAATTGAAGTGATGCAGCGCGTTTCCAGTCATGGCAGATACTCATGTCCCTGGATTTGATATAAATCCGAATAACCATGATCATCTATGTTTACGAGACATTCTTATCTCATTGGATCCAAAACGATGTTGTCAATCAAGCGCACAGGTACCTGCCGACCTTCAGAGTCCAGCTGGCCTAAATCCTCACCCTCTTGCGGTTCCTCGACTGGCAACATCTTGACTGCGCCACTGAGTATGGCGCCTTTCGAATCATCAATTTGGTCAATCTCTTCCATAGTATCAGGGTCTGCAAGGCTGATATAGTCAACCTCGAACTTGGCGCGTTTGCCAGGCTCCATCTGTTCTTGCTCGAGCAATGTCATATTACCATGGTCGAACGCAGGCCAGAGGACGTCATTTCGCAACCTCATGCCGTTTTTATACTGTAGTTCTGCTTTGCGAAGCGCTTGGTTGAGGACGATGCCAACATTACGGCGACGTGTGCCGAGGTAGACATTGCGAGAAGAGAGTGCGAGTCCGTCTGACTCCCTTGAGGTAGGAATGATGCGCAAGCTCGTGTCTAGATGGAAGTCCTGAATCAAGCACTTGATGACGCGAGTTTGCTGGACATCTTTTTGCCCAAAGTAGACGCGATCTGGCGCGCAGATGTTGAAGAGCTTCATGCAGACTGTTGCTACGCCGCGGAAGAAGACGGGCCTTGACGCGCCTTCAAGAAGCTGACCAAGCGGGCGCATCTCGATGAAACTCCCTACGCCTGGTACACTACTGTCCGGCGGTAGTGTGGGGTACATGGTCTTTGTGGTTGGTGCGAAGACAGCTGTCACGCGGCCATGGTTTGCGCTCGCCAGTTCCTGGTTCAGCTCTCCCAAGACTTGCATATCCGCCTCCCATGTCTTCGGGTACGAGGCAAGATCCTCATTCAGCCCAAACTGTGTAGGGTTCACGTAGATGGTAACGAAGACGTCGGTGTTCTCGGCGGCTGCGTGTCGCATGAGCGAGACATGGCCCTCGTGCAGGGCGCCCATTGTCGGAACCAGGCCAACTGTGCGATTGTTGGAGCGGAGGGTTCGGCGATAGTCACGTAAGGGCGCGACATCGCGGAAGATTTGGGTCGCGGACGCGGGGGACGGGGTATTGCGTAGTGACGGACTCGTGGACAGGCATCGGATGCCGTTGCCCGTAGGAGCTTGCTGTGGACGCGCAAGGCCCCTGACCAAGCATCTTCGTGCTATCGGCACTGCACTGCATTAGTCATTTGGGTCAATGGCGTAGGTTGAGGAACATTCTCACCAGCTGCGAAACGGAGCGATGCCATTGCGGAGAGTTGCGGAAGTGTCGCGGACAAAGCTCTGCCTTAGCTATCGCGTCGCGCAAAAATGGGGAAAAAGCGAGGATGACTCGCTCGCAACTCGGAAGCGGACAAAGCACGAGGAGTCAGCGAGGAGGCAGCCATGGTGATCAAGTTGAGAAAGGTCAAGACGACTCGTTTCTGCGCTGAAGGTCCCATCATGGAGGGAGTGCCCATCTGAGCCTAGTGCCCCACTAAAAAGATCCCAGGCTCGAGATTTCCATCTCTTTCGCATCACCACCCCGCCGGATCTGCCACCACACGCGACGACATACGACACCATGGCTGACGATGGCATGCTCCTCAACTTTTCCATACCGGACAGCGGCATATTAGCGAAACCCTCATTCAAGGGCGGCAACTGGAAGGAGCGGCTCACTGCGAAGAAGGCGGCGCAGAACTGGCACACCAAGGCGACAGCACGACTAAATGGCGAGAAGGTGCCGAAACAGCTAGTCGACAACGCGACAAACGTGAACCGCATAGAACTAGGCCCGAGAAAGGCACGTGTGTCGAAGAGCCCAGAGTTTCCCGATTCCGGCGACAGGCCAGTAAAGCGAGCGCGTGTGAGCGGAGACTTCAGGCCGAGGACGACGGAGAAGACCGACGATGTCAACTTCAGACCCCAATCGAATCCGAACCCCGCGAAAAGACCAAGCGAGCAGAACAATGCGCCAAAGGGTGGAAAGCAGGTCATTTCCTCGCTTTTCACCTACAATCCCACGTCGAAGACGAAGCCCGAAGCGAGCGAACGCCGCGAAGACGATGCGCCCGTAGAACCCTCGAACGCGCCACTCAGCAGCGAGCTGGACACCTTTACATCCCTGGGCATGTCCACGACCATTGCGGCGCATTTGCTGAAGAAGATGGACTTGAAGGCACCGACCGCAATTCAGAAGGCTGCGGTTACACAACTCATCAAAGATGACTCGGACGCCTTCATACAGGCCGAGACTGGTTCGGGAAAGACTTTGGCATATCTGCTACCTATCGTACAGCGACTCATGGAGCTCTCCGCCAACATGAGGAAGCGCAAAGTCGACGAAAGCGTGCAGAGAAACTCGGGTCTTTTTGCAATCATTCTGGCACCAACGCGCGAGTTGAGCAAGCAGATTGAGCATGTTCTAGAGAAGCTTCTAGGCTGCGCGCATTGGCTTGTGGCTACAACAGTTATTGGTGGTGAGAAGAAGAAGTCTGAAAAGGCACGGTTACGCAAGGGCATCAACATACTCGTCGCGACACCTGGCCGATTGGTCGATCATCTGGAGAATACAGAAGCTTTGGACGTGAGCAATGTCAGGTGGCTCGTTCTGGATGAAGGTGATCGGCTCATGGAGCTTGGTTTTGAGCAGGAGATCCAGAAGATCGTAGGAGCGTTGAATCTGCGAATGCGCGCAAGGAAAGATGAGAAGTCGAGAATACCTGGCCTGCCGGAGAAGCGCACAACGGTACTCTGTTCCGCAACCATGAAAATGGACGTAGAGAGACTTGGGCAGATAAGTCTGAAAGATGCAGTGCACATTCGAGCCGATCCGTCAGAACAGGGACCAGAAACGACCGAGCCGGGAGGCGGCCATTCATTCTCTGCACCAGCGCAATTGAAGCAGTCGTACGCCGTAGTGGCACCGAAGCTCAGATTGGTATCATTGATAGCCTATCTGAAACGAGCTTTCGCACGAAGGGGTTCCGTGATGAAGGCTATCGTCTTCATCTCGTGTGCCGACTCTGTCGACTTTCACTTTGACATGCTCACCAGCGAAATCGAAGGGATCACGGAGACGAAGAAGAAGGAAGACGTACAAGAAGAGGTGGAGGAGGACAAGGTTGAGGAGGTCGTTGATGATGCAGAGAAGAAGCCAAAGAAGACTAAGGCGATAACACAGGCGGACCCGACCAAGCTCACAGTAACAGGTGCAGAGTCACCCGTGCTTTCTGCAAAAACGCACACAGTCACAGCATACCGTCTCCACGGTTCATTACAACAGGCCGTGAGAACTTCGACACTCGCTCAATTTACAAAGAACAAAAATCCCTCGGTTCTCATCGCTACAGATGTCGCATCCCGTGGTCTCGATCTTCCAAACGTCGACCTGGTTATCGAATTCGATCCTGCCTTCGCCCGCGAGGACCATTTGCATCGAATCGGTCGTACTGCGCGTGCAGGACGCGACGGACGGGCGTGTATCTTCTTGATGCCTGGAACTGAAGAAGGCTACGTCGAGATCCTAAAGTCAGACAGGAAAGACCTGGAAGCTGGAGTTCATGTCGCGCGTCAAGATGCCGATGATATCCTCAACCGAGGCTTAGTTACCAGCGGAGTAATGGAAAAGAACGCCTACATGGACAAGGCAACCGACCTCCAACTCGCCATTGAGCGCTGGGCTCTAGCATCCCCTGCTCGTCTGGAAGCTGCTCGACGAGCCTTCCAAAGCCACATCCGCGCCTACGCAACCCACGTGGCAGATGAACGTCAATACTTTGATATCAAATCGATGCACTTGGGTCACTTGGCTAAAGCATTTGCTCTTCGTGAACGACCATCTGGAATGAAAATTCCGGGACAACGAACAGGTGCTGGACGAAACGACAAGACACCTGCTAGGGTGCGCGGTGGGCCGAAGGTGGACCTGGCTAGTCGCAAGGCTGACACGGGTACGTCGAAGAGGGCGGTTGTGGATCTGGACCTTCCCGAGGGCGCGGACACAGATGAGGCGGCGAAGATGAGGAAGGCGGTTCGGGCGAAGGAGAAGTTCATGCGTCATGCGGGTATGGCGAGCGAGTTCAACTTGGGTTGAACACACTCAAATCGATACTGAAGTACCTCTCCCGTGGTACATTCTTTCATGAAGGCATTCCATCTTCTCTGAAATGTTGTGTTGAAGTCCGTTAAATGAAGAAGGTCGAGGTCGCAAGCAGGTCTAGCTCTGATATATTCGGATGCGGCTATGAACAACAAGTACAGACTGTGCCGTGATGAGACAGTGCCATCTGATGTCTGCTACATGACGTTACTGTCTCTATGTGGGAACTTTGCACCAGGTTGGGGAGCACCTTAAGCCTAGGCCTGATTAGTACTACCGAGGCCCATCATGTGCCATCATGTGACATCATGGGCCGACCCGACCCAATGCCTACCATCTATAGCATACGACGCGCCGCCATTGTCGGAGCAAGGAACGCAAAGCGAGGCAGCTAGATCGTGGTCGCAACGAAGTAATACCTCGCTAGATCCGGCCCTGAGGCAGGTCACACAGTCCTGGGTGAGGCGAGCTAACTCCCGTTCCAACTCCAATCAAGTTATCCCTTGCAAGCCACATGTCTAGGCCTCCAGCCGTGTGCATCACTACATGGCGATACATGACATAGCCACTGGTGATGTGAGGCACCACGCCAACTCGGGACCGCATTCACTCCGTTATCTAAGAGAATGAGTTTCGGCATCAGCATTGGAGACGTGCTCAAGCTGTGTGAGCTAGCTGGTAGAGTCTACAAGAACTGTCCGCTTCCCCCGCCAACCGGTAGCGTTCAGTATGCTAACTTGAGCGCAGGCCGAGACTGCTCCGGCGAATACAAGGCCCTTACGTCGCAAGCACGAACGCTGACGAACCTACTCGAGGATATTCAAGACAAGTACGACAAGATACCCGAGAGCAAGCGGCAGCAGCTCATCGATGCGTACCAACCATGTATCGAAGTGCTCGAAGAGCTAGACAAGCTGGTACTGCACTACAATGGGCTCGACACGAAAACCAAACGCGCATGGGACCGGCTCAAGTACGACCCTGAGAAGTCGAGAAACATACGAGAGCGCCTTATCGCGAGTGTATCGATGCTCAATTCCTTCTACACATCCCTGATACACGATAGCCAGGTTCTTATACTAGAAGCCTTGGAAAGATTGGAGAAGGACTACAAAGGCGGTCATCGCGAAGAAAGCATTGCTTCGATCGGGCGACTCACGTCTGGAGGCTCAGCAGACGACGACGACGATGACGAGGAGGCATGGAGCCAGATTCTCCGCGATCTCGAAGACGTGGGAGTATCACAGCAGCAGGCCTTGAGCTACCGAGATGTCATCGTAGACTGGCTTGTCACAGCTGTCAACGAAGGGAGGCTTTTGGAGGAGCGGCCAGAGCACGATGCCCTAGCAACTATGTCCTCGGACCTCGGGACAGCTCTTCCTGAATTCGACTTCGACGAAAGACCGCATAGTTTTGATGTCCCAGCGATCGTCTCGCCTGCGTGCCAGCGCTCACACAATCCTCCCACAGCTCTGCCTCTGGCGTCTAGTCCGCCAATCACGCAAGATCAGCAGATCTATCTGGCCCCTTCAGCAACTTCCCGAGCACATTCGACCACCTCCTTGCGGCAGTCCCAACATGCTGAATCGGAGGCCTCGTCGCTATGCGCGGAGCCACACCCAGCGTCCCAGCCTACTACTTCCATGGGCTCCAACAGCCATGCGATCAGACGTGTTCCAGTTCAACCTCCAAACACTACGGTTCCTATCACGCCCACGCACAGTATCCCAATCGTGGCGCCTACGTCCCCGACTAGTCCCTCTTTACCAGTGCCTTCTTTTACAGCTGAAACGGGAATATCTGGTGCACCTCCGTCGTATTATGAGAAAGAAACATCAATTGCGATAGACCTTGAGTGGACGGCACAACAAATAGTTGCCGCGTGGACTCGGAATGACTTTGTCACTGCAGAAAAGCTTCTGGAAGAACAGCTGGCAGCTGTCGAACGTGGACAAACATCTAGGTCTGGGACTCAGCCCGACCGACGTATTCTTAGGCATCTGCTTGGAGTATGTGCCTCCTACACTGGGAAATACGCCAAAGCGAAATCTTTGTTCGAAAGCGTCTTCAACGGAATTTATCTCAACCGTCAAAACCTGGACGATGGTGACATAGCTGCAGCACGGTGGCTAGGGGACGTCTGCCTGCATATTCAACAGCATACAAACGCCGCCCTTGCGTATTGCGTTGCATATGAAGGATCAATTGGTCGCCTGGGTGTGGCACGCGACCGCACCTCAAGGATAGCCGCCGAACTAAGGCTCGTCGACCACTGGCTGTGGGTGTTCAAGAGAATCGAGGCTACCCTTGAGCTAAATATGGATCCTACCAATATCTTTACATCTACAAATGTCGTTGAAAAGAGCAACCTGATGATGGCAGTCAGAAACAGTGTTTACGATATGCCCGGGATTGAAGGTCGTGGTTCATTGCCACCGGCTGCGGGCATGCGTCCGTCTCTTAACTTGAGTCCTCGACCACAATGTACTCTTGCGATCTCAGAAGGCTTCCTTTTGGGACCCCTGATATCTACAAGCACATGGCCTCTGCCTTGGGATCATCTCTTCTGTCCCGTGGATGCTGTTCAGCTGGACCGCTTTATGGGCGTCATCCCCATTGCAAATTTCATTGGCCAACCCCTGTCTGAGCGTCAGCTACCGTCGAATTCACTAGGCGACTCGAAGAAGCTGCATTTTCTTACTAAAAGAGGCAGTCGATGGTTGATTGATGCCGTGAAACGAGGCCTCCATGAGATGGGGATCGATTATGGCGAGCATAAATACGAGCCTTCGATCGTGTGCCGCATCAATCAGCAGCGTGAGGGCGTGGTGTTCTCCGAAGGGATCGAGATCGGTTTCAGCAAGCTCCCATTCCGTGATGTCTATGGAATCAAGGTCTCGCATGTGAAGTGGGCGACGCGACGGTTTCCGGCATACGGCTCTCATGACACGGCCAATTTTAGGAATATTGTGAAGGGTTTCTTGGAGAGGGCGGAGGCAGAGGCAGACCTTCCGAAGTCGACGCACAATATGCAACATGGAAGTATGGGCGTACACCCGCAAGCGTCCCACGCATCGCCAGACTTTAAGAGGCCGTCCTATGCTTGAGTCGTGGCGAATGTTCTGCGTTCAGTACACATCATTGGAATAATTCCGAGAGTGTTACCAGCCAACAACGCGCTCGTAACTCTGCCGTTCAAACCTGTGGCGTCAACAATAGTTCCAGGTTCCCTATATGAGCTCTGTGTCGATCTCCGGCATTCCAGCGCGCTTCATGGGAAATGGCATCATCTGACGTTGATACTACATCGCCGTTGGATATGGTCCACGCGTTCTGAGCAACAGGTAGGGGCCCGCGGGCATATGAGGTTGTGACACGCCAGGGCTACCCAGACATCTTTGATGTGTTGTTTTCTTTTTTTGTTCATCGGAGATCAACAGCGGCTATACATTCTAGCCCCTGCATCGTGATATTGCGAGGTTCGGGAACCGATGGCAGTCATCAGAAAGGAAAAGTCAGTGTAGTACAAGGCGTAAACAGTAGGGGCTAACTGTCTTCGAAAAGAGATGACATGTACCATCGCAACTGCACACGCTCATGTCGGACTTCGGCAGCTTGAGACGCCCATCCCCGTCGTTTGCGCCTGACGATCAAATTGTGTTTTGCGGTGTCAACACTTTCAAGGGCCAAACCTCGCCGCAGTCTGGCGTCCTACATAGGCCCCAGGAGGCGGCGTGACTCTTGGCACTAGGGGCCGAGATTTGCAAAGTGGGTGACTTTGCGAAATGACTGTCAGCCTGACCCGCCAAAGTCCTAAGCAGCCTCCTGAACCAAAGTTCCTCAGCTTTCCATGTTCGACGATTTGTAGCGCGCAGGCAATGGGTGGATGTGCACACTCATGCTATCGGTCGACTGCATCATTAACCCCGCTGCTGACGTTCTACGGCGCCTTTATCTGCACATGGCCGATAACGAGATCGACCCGCAAGGCGCAAACTCGTTTAATTAAGGCTCCGTACCTGAGTTAGTGTTGTCTGAGAAAAGCGCCATCCATTTGGGTAGCGGGTGAGCTTACCAAAACCCCGACTAGGGTCTCGCTAAAATAGTCGGTTTGTGTTTCATGTTTCAGCGGCACAACCTCAACGGTGCCTTGATTGGCCTCTGGTGCCTAACGCTGACTGCATCTTCGGAACCCAGCGTTACTGCTAGGAAACAGAACAGAGGGCTCGAACGCCGTGCGATCGATGCAGGGAACGAAACCCGTAACGGCGGCAAAGCGGATGCAGACCCCAGGGATATCGATGTTTGCAGGAGTCAGGTGTAATGAGAATTCGGGGAATGTGCACCACTGGTCTGGGCTAAGCTCGTGAATCAAAAGCGTCGAACCGCCGCGCTCGAATAGGCTTTCTTTCTTCACCTTCGATCACACACGAGGATCTCTTCTTCAAACCCCAACTTTCTGTCTCTCCTTCCCGGGCGCTCAGCTGCCTATTCCATTCCTTCATTGTCGCTAGTCGGCATATTCATTCATTCACCTGTATATTGAGTCCTAGTGACCGAACGCCCTCGTCCGTGTGTTACCCTATCACAATTATCATCTTCCCGGATAAACAACTGCTCTACTTCGTATACGATCATCAACCGAGTTACCCTCAATATGAAGACCCAATCTATGCTTCTCGCGGCTCTGGCGTCCGCCCCCGCTGCCCTTGCCCACACTGTCTTCACAGACTTCTTCGTCGATGGCATGCCCCAGGTTTGTTATCCCAATCTTTTTCGATGCAGTCAGTATACTAACAATGACTAGGGTGATGGTGTCGCCATTCGCATGAACCCCAATGCTGCCAAGGCTAGCAGCCCCGTTCCCAGCCTCGATAGTGAGGACATGGCCTGCAATGTCGGTGGTACAAAGGGTGTTTCTCGTGTCCAGCCCGCTAAGGATGGTTCCCTCATCACGTTCGAGATCCGCTCATGGCCCAACGACCCTACAAAGGAGCGTCTTGACCGTGGTCACGTGGGTCCTTGTGCCGTGTACCTGAAGAAGGTTGCCGATGCCAGCACTGACAAGGCTGCTGGTGACGGTTGGTTCAAGATCTTTGACCATGGCTACGACTCGTCGACCGACCGCTGGTGCACGGATGAGATCATCGACAACAATGGTCTCTTGTCTGTGAACCTCCCAAAGGGCCTTGAGGGCGGTGACTACCTTGCTCGTCCCGAGATTCTTGCTCTCCACGCCGCGAAAGACGGAGACCCACAATTCTACACTGGCTGCGCTCAAATCTTCGTTGAGAGCAGCGGAAACCTGGTGCCCGAAAGTACTGTTTCCATCCCTGGCTACGTCAAGTACAACGAGCCATCCACCGACTTTGACATCTACAACAAGGATGCCAAAGACTATGTTATCCCAGGCCCCAAGGTCGCCAAGCTCACGGCTGGTGGCATGAAGAAGGCTTCGACCACGCAAACTGCGGGCCTGAAGCCCGAAGGCTGCATCATGGAAAACGCCAACTGGTGTGGTAAGGAGGTCTCCTCGTACAGCACAGAGAAAGGCTGCTGGGCTTCCGCTACCGAGTGCTGGGACCAAGCCGATGTCTGCTACGACGAAGCCCCCGCTACCGGTAACGCAGGATGCAAGCTCTGGCAGGAAAAGTGCAAGGACATCAACGCACAGTGCACGGCTATGAACTTCAACGGTCCTCCCAACAAGGGCAAGATCCTTACTCCCGAAAAGAAGAGCATTGATGTTGGCAAGATCATGGCTGTTGTAGGTGGCGGTATCGTGGATGCTGCTCCTAAGGCTAGCTCCACCAAGCAGCAAGAGACACCCGCGAAGGCTTCTCCCAAGCCTGTAGCCGACAAGGCCACCCCTGCTGCGCCCAAGCCTACGGTCGATGAGTCGTACGAGAGCCCTCCCATTGTTGAGCAGCCGGTTGCTGCTGCGCCCAAGCCCACGCAACCCACGACGCTTTCCAAGGCACCCGTCTCCACCATCACTGTTGCCCCTTCGTCTGCGAACGCGCCTGCGCCTACCCAGCCATCGTGTCCTGAGGGATACAAGTGTGTGTATGTCACGGATGTTGAGGTTGTCACCGAGACTGTCTACGTGACTGCTACATACGATGGGTACAACAAGAGGGCCAATGTACCCCGTAGGAGGCACATCATGTACCGCGCTTAGATGTGCGGTACTGAGACGTGTTACGTGGAGTTAGGGGGAAAAGGACGAAACGATTACTTTCTGCGACGACGATCGCGAGCTGATAAGCTCTGTTTGGGATGAGGGTTGCTTTTTTAGCTACGAATGATAAATGTTCACTTGTTCTCGATCTGAGACATGAATGCGCACCTATTTCTCTCCCTCGATTGTTCGCATCTTGACGCTTCCATCTTCCATGCCAAAGTAGACGGCGACGGGCTTCTGACCACCTCGTACAGTTTTGGTCAGTTGATCCTGCTCGCGAAGTTCCTGTGCATCAATTCCGTTCAGACCGGAAAAGATGCCGACTTCCAATACACCAGTCAAGCCCTTGATGGCCTTGCTTATCGTGTTGACCTCCCATGTGCCATCTGTTCCATCACCCTTGCCCTTGCCAGCTGCAACGTCCGCCGAAGTGAGCAAGGCAGGGAACGGCGCATCGATGATGTAAAAGTCCTGGTCCGTTTTCAGGGGTCCCGACTTCTCCAGTAGCGTAGTCCTTAGCTTAGGACCCGTTGAACCAAGCATCTTAAGCGCAGCAGCGACCTTGAGCTGAGACAGCGGCGCAACCTCAATTGGTATCGTCGGCCAGTTGGTCAGCAAGCGTTCTTGCCTCTTCCGGTAGTCTGCGACACAGACGAACTTCTTCGCGCGCTCGGCGACGAGCTTCTCCTGGAACAGACATGCACCTCCTCCTTTTATACAGTTGAGTTCTGCGTCGACTTCGTCAGCTCCGTCAAAGGCGACATCGAGCATTACGCGATCCGGAAGACTGTCGAAGGAGATGGCGGTTAGGCCGGCGTTGACTACGAGTTGGCGCGATTGGAAACCTGTGGGCACGAAAAGGATGTTCGGGTTCGTAGAGCGTTCCTTGATGGCTTCGACGACATAGACAATAGTTGTTCCGGAACCAATTCCAACGTGGGTGGCTGCTGGGTCGAAGTGGTCCGCTACTGCTTGGTGTGCAGCAGCGCGCTTTGCGGCTTCGACAGTTGTGTCGGTCATACTGTTCGCGTGTCTGAGGAAGCCTGTGGTATGGAAAGTTCGATAGGAAGGATGGGGAGAGTGAACTGGTGTTGCAGAAGGAGATTTGCCGGTGGTCCAGGTGCTGGCTCGGTGTACAAAAGATCTAGAATTTGACAGTGGTCGGAGGGGCAGTCGAGACTTGAGATGACTGATGCTGCGCACTTGCTGATTTATATTGGCGGGCCAGACGTGGTTCGACTTCAGCAGCATGAACTAGAGTGGGAATCTTTCCAGTGACGCTAGAGTCAGTGAATTCGAGAGACTACAGTGAGTCGCGATAAGATGGTGGGATGAATGATTTTCCCGTGACGAGACGATTGAGCTCCTGCCAAAAATGACGATTTGAGCCCCACCAGGACCCCGCGACAGGGATGTGCCCTTAGCGCGCGGGCTGGCAGCGCGTTTGGTGCCTGGCAGCTTGAGCTTCCCAAGCTGTAGTACCGACATCTTTCGCCCTCATCCTCAACCCTCCCGAATTCGCCATAATGGAGGATCTCCCACCCCCAGTGCAGGGCCCGACTGCGAAGGAGAAGAAGTATGTTTATCGCGAACACTTCTATCAATACTAACCAGAATAGATACGACCGTCAACTACGCCTCTGGGGCGCCACCGGCCAAATCGCACTCGAGAACTCGCATATCCTACTCATAAATTCTGGCCCGGGAGTTGTCGGTGTCGAGACGCTCAAGAATCTCGTTCTTCCCTGCATCGGCAACTTCACCATCCAAGATTCGGCCATTGTTAGCGAAGCAGATCTAGGCGTCAACTTCTTCCTGGAGGACCAGCATCTAGGAGGCTACCGGGCTGAACATACATGCAATCTACTCAAAGAACTGAATCCGGACGTGGACGGCCAGTTCATCACAGAGGTTGGTCAAATGACGTTTTGTCACGTCGTCCGCTAACGGGAATAGCCTCTAGAGTCATGGCTGGCGCAACCTGACGCTCTGCGACCGTACACCCTCATCATTGCGACCGCACCTATCCGTCCAGGAATCCTCGCCAAGCTCTCCGACCACGCCAGCGCTGCGCTCATCCCGCTGTTCTATGTTCATTCGGTCGGCTTCTACGCACACTTCTCCGTACACCTACCTCCAGCGTTCCCCATCGTAGACACACATCCCAGCCCAGAGACCACATCAGATCTGCGGCTATTACGGCCATGGCCAGAGCTTGTCCAGTACGCGGAGGAGAAGACGGGCGATCTGGACAACATGAAGGCAGAAGATCACGGTCATGTCCCATGGATAGCACTGCTGCTGCACTTCCTCGAGCGTTGGAAGAAGGACCATGGTGGAGAGGTACCACAAACGTACAAGGAGAAAACAGAGTTCAGGACATCAGTAGCGCGGGCTGCGCGCACAAATAATCCAGAAGGTGGCGAAGAGAACTTTGACGAAGCAGTGGCGGCAGTTCTGAAGTCCTTGAATCCACCACAAGCCAGCAGTTCCGTCAAAGAGATCTTTACGGCGCCGGAGTGTCTTCTGATCCGCGAGGATTCACCAAGCTTCTGGGTCATCGCCAACGCCATCGGCCTGTTCTACACCAAGTACAACATGCTCCCGGTACCCGGCTCTGTACCCGACATGAAGGCGCGGTCAGCAGACTATATACAGCTGCAGAATGTTTACAAGTCGAAAGCACGAAAGGATCTGTCGGAGGTGGTAGACAGCGTGCGGTTCCTGGAGCGTAATGCTAACCGAAGCACGCCGATCGACGAGAAGGATATTGAGACTTTCTGTAAGAACGCAGCACATATCAAGCTAGTGCGTGGACGGCCGTTCCACGTTGTGCAAGCAGGCGAGAAGATCAAGTGGGGAGACCGTGCGAAGTCTATCGGTGAGGAAGCCAGCCTCAACATTTGCTACTTGGACTAACGCCTTGTAGCACAACAGCTCACATTCCCCGACTCTCAGATTCCGCTGTATATTGCATTCCTAGCCTGGGATGAATTCCTTGCCACTCACGATCAAGACAGTCTTGGAGGAGCACCCCGCGTTGCTGGAGAGAGCGATCCCGAAACAGACTCAGAAAAGCTCACCGGCATTGCCTTGAAGATTGCGAGTGATCTTGTCAAAGAGGCAAACGCTACCATTGAGGAAGACGAGCACGAGACAATCAAGTCCCAGATTGGAGAATACGCGCGAGAGCTGTAAGTACACTCCGTCCCCGAACTCGATATGAGAGAACCTTTTTACAAAAGCCTCGTTATTGTATTCTAGTAGTAAACAGTGGACTGACCAAGCTACAGTGCGCGAGCCGGTGGCGCTGAACTTCACAACATCGGTGCCCTGACTGGCGGTATCGTTTCGCAGGAGATCATCAAGGCTATCACTGAACAATACGTTCCAGTTGACAATGCCTGTGTGTTTGATGGAATTAAGAGCAAAAGCACCGTTTTCAAGGTCTAATAGGGTAATGAGGGGCTTGAGGTTGGTAGGAATAACATCTGGGTCGACAAGAGTCAAGTTCCGCCATCAGATGGGGAGGGTGGACATGGCATTGCCGAAGAAGCGAGTTTCAGCATGAGAGGAGATGAATTGGCATAGCGCGGCGTTCATACATCGCCATTGTCACGTATAACTGGCCGCCGTGTGGCATAAGACCCTGCAACAGAGCGCAGCGAATAGTGCAAGTATCAACAAGACCGATGACGGGTATGTCCCTCTAGGAATGCGCAGAGTGAAAGTGAAGGTACAGCTAGCGCATATAACGAATCTTTGTCCGGATTGGAAGCAAGCACGAACAAGGCTACACAATCCATTCTTGCATCATCTTGCTCAACTGAAAACTTCAACTTGAAATCCGCACGAATTTTGCAGATGTGGCCAGAATACATAAGGTGACTTCCAAGCAACCTGCCTTGGGATTTCCCGCTGCATCCAAACCGCGGCCCACTCCGGGCGCTGACAAAGCAGCGAGATCTTCGGCACGGTCACGTGGTCGACGTGACGCGATCGAAGCCGGCGCGTCGGACCCCAGCCAAAGTAATCCAACTGTCAACTCTCTGTCATCCGAAATAATTCCTGTCTGCGAACGACCCATGGACTCTTCCTTCGACCTCCCCGACTCCACCGATTGGATAAAGACATCCCTACCCGCGTTCGAAGCGCTCGAGGTTGCCTTGCGCTGCGAAGTCTGCAAGGAGTTCTACAACAACCCTGTCATCACGTCGTGTAGCCATACCTTCTGTTCGATATGCATACGAAGATGCATCACGGCGGACGGCAAGTGCCCGAGCTGCAAAGCCGGGTGCTCGAGCGACAAGTTGGCGCCCAACATTGCGATCAGAGAAGTCGTGATGCGGTTTCAAGAGGCGAGACCAAAGGCCATGGAATTGGCGCGCGCAGACAAGGAAGAGGAGACTACGAAGACTAGCAAGAAGAAGCGGAAACTAGACGACACCGATATGGAAGATGAGGAGAACGTCAGGCATACACGATCGCGGCAGACGCGAACTAGGAGCCAGCGCAACGGAGGTAGAGCTGGGTCGCCCATGGTCGTCGCGGATAGCGAAGACGATGGCGACGACGATTTCATGCCAGACGGCATGGTCAAGTGTCCAGTGTGCAACAAGGCGATGAAAGAAGAACTGGTCTACAACCATCTGGACATATGCACTGGGCCAGAAAATTCGCAAGGGCGTAGCACCCGGTCAAGGTACGTGGATGTCTGACAGCATGCTCAGGTCACTCGGCTAACGACACTCACTTGTAGGACTAAGACTGCATTCCCACCCGCTTTTCAAATACGAAAGAAAGACCCCTCGCCTCCACCGACGAGATTGTCCCAGCTCAACTATGCTATGCTTACAGAGACTAAGTTGCGGAAGATATTGCAAGATATTGGCATACCTACTTGGGGTTCAAAAGATCTGATGAGGCGGCGGCATATTGAATGGCTCAATATCTACAATTCGAATTGCGACGCCGACGAAAATGTGCGGAAGAGCAAGAGGCAGCTGTTGAGAGAGTTAGACGAGTGGGAGCAGACACTAGGTGGAAGAGCAGGCACCAAAGAGAACAAAATCATGAAGAAGGACTTTGATGGTGACGGGTATGCAAAGACACACAAGACCGAATTCGACGACTTAATAGCACGAGCGCGACAGAAGCGTGCCACACCCAAGACAGATAGCGAGGGACCAACAGAGCGGAATACGCCTTCAGAAGAGCAACACACAGAATCCCAGAACGACCGATCATTGCCAGTCAATGGTACAGAAACTTCCTCCCACGGCCCATCGTCGACGCAAACACCCTCAGGTATACATCCACATCCCTCAAACAATCTCAACCCTCATGGAATGAATGGCACAGCGCTCGCAAGTATACACGCGAAGGCTGAGGAGGCATACAATACACCCAGCGAAGTACCTGCCTCAACGGCCGAACATTTCGCGGAAAGTGCAACAAGGCATGGGCCAGCGGCTATGGAGGGGATACAGAACCCTTTAGGAAGCCCCAGTCGCAAGATGTCCCTGCTTGCGCTTCCTGAAGAGCCGGTCTGAGACGTGGAGGGAGGCACAGCTGTGTAATAATAGGTAGTTGTGATGTTTGGCTACGAAGCTTTGGCAAGTCCAGCGGTTGAAAATGCTCTCTTCACTTCGAACCCAGTCATCACTTTCACACGTCCAATTCACTCGCACGTCATGCTTCCCCGTAGCATCTTAGTATTCATTACAGTGGCGCTCGCTATCTATCTATCTTCACGTCTCATATTACAACCCTACGCCGCCACCGATCGTTAGACAGCGATAGCTCCAGCGATGAATCATCGTGATCGAACGGTATCATTCGATGACGACTCGTATTTCGACTCATCGATTCCAATGCAAACATCCAACGCAGGTTCTCCTCTGCTTGGACCACGACTCGCTCCACCAAACCGCACAACTACCAATCCAATGGGACCACGAGAAAGACGAGCCGAATACATGGCGGCGCGCAGACCAACCCCAAACCCAGACCAGTACGCCTACAATGACCCCGGATATGTCAGTCCAACCCCCCATCGCACCTCCAGACGCACCAGGCTACCGTCATCCACGCCAGAACGAGCATCCACATCACCAGGAGCCCCATATGCCCGGTACAGGGGAGAAGACAACTTACCCAACGATGTTGTAGCAAAGGTTCTCGACCCGCCCAGAGGGAGGAGAACGCCTACACTGAGAAGAGCACCGCATATACAATGGGATCTTTCGGGAGGAATCCGCACAGTGACGAGCTTCACTTCAACGGGAGGGTCTGTCACGGAAGAGGACGCCGTTGCTGATGGGAGGTATGGAGATGGACAGGCAGAAAGCAGCCAAGCGGCATCGTCTCGCCCACGTTCTTCAAACTTGAATCATGCCCAACAAATCGAGAGAGGGCTACATGGTAAGACTCCATACACGCCATACGGGTAATCTTTACTAATCACTCGTTTAAACAGTTCCTCTGCTGCATCAAGACGACTCGACTCGCCCGAGCTCTTCAAATCCAACTCTTGTCCGCCAACTTGGAAGAGGGCTGCTACATGAAAGGCTACAAGATGGTAAGACTGCCACCTCTATCCCACATCAATGACCCTCACTAATCAGCGATATGCACAGCTCCTGTCTATTATCAAAACGACACTCAACTCTTCTCGCAATCCCTACCCAGCCCCTCACGCCGCGTCTCATCCGATTCGGAAACCACGAACCCAGTCCCAAACTTTCGACGCCATGTTCTAAGTCCCATAGAAGAAGAGCGCCGGAGGAAGCCAGTCCCTGCCCAGGATGTTCCAGACCTAGTCCCGTCGCGCCGATATCGACATCGCCGACATGCCACAGACTCCCCACCAACACCTCCCGAACCAGGTTCCCCACGGCCTCGGCCCCGTCGTAGACATTACCTACCCGATGAATACGATGGCGACAACGCCTCATTGCGCGAAGCAGAGGCCTTGCGTATCCAGCATGTGACGCATGAAGAAGTGCGAAGGAGCGAGAGGACTATCGCACCTCCCCCAAGTCGCGATAACAGACCAGAGGCTGGGCTTACCGTGGGCGATTCGATGCTGGAAAAGCTGTGGCGGGAACGAGAGGCGGATTATGATGAGCTTGTTCGACGAGTACGGAAGACGATGAAGGAGAAACATACGTTGAAAGAGAAGGCGAAGAAGTGCTGGCGCAAGGTCAAGAAGTTCTTTGGCAAGCGCATAAGGGGGTGAAGAGATGTGGGGTGTAGGGCGTCTGGTACAGACGTGTCTATTAGTTCATTTCTAGTTACCGACGCCGGCTCTAGCGCCTGTAATACAAATGCTGATTAACCGTGGTACTCTTCTCTATGTCTAACAAGAAGTGATTCATGTACACATTGCATTCGCTAAAAGACATAGTAGTGCCATCTCCACAACAAATCAGGCCCCTTACTGGCCTATTGATACCAACTCTGTTCATCATAAGTAAACCCTTGCATTCCCATGCCATTAAATCCAGCTACACCAAACCCATTCAGACTTGGGTTCGGAGCAGCACTCGCACTCGTATTCCCGTTCGTATACCCATTGACCGCATTACCACCCACAGGTCCACCACTCATGTCGCTGCTCATGACAGGCGCATTGGTGTTACCCTGGAACGCACCCGCTGGGCTAGTGGTGTTCGCAAACCAATTCGCAATATCGTCGATTCCTTGAGGATTCCAATTCTCAAAGTCTGTTGCGAGCTGTGTCTGATCGCGATAGATCCAGTCTTGGCCTTCTCGTAACAGTTGGTCGACGCCGCCAAATAGCTGACTTGGCGAGCTGCCAGCGGTGGTTTGGCCATCAACGGAACGCCGGCCTTGTGTGGACGCCGGTGTTGGTGCGTTGAGGGAGTTTGATGAATTTTGTGGCGTGCTAACCTGATGCTGATTGCGCATGTAAGCCAGGGCATTTGCGTCGGAGGGAGGTATGGAGTGGGTGCTGGAGGGGCGCGCAGAAGGATCATTGCTTACGGAACTGGAAGTGTTGGCTGTTGCTCGGGCAAAGAACTGGGGTGTCGCAATGTTGGCCATGTTCATGCTATATGGCTGGAGGCTTGGTGATGTCTGTTCTGCAGGCGATGGATGCTGATCCTTCATCTGAAGGGATCCGCGGCGCATTGCTTTCGGCGTGCTGATCTCGTTCCAAGGGCCATACTTGGCATCGGTGCGGGACAATACTGTGGCAGCTTCTTCGGGCATCTCGACTTTCCAGCGGTTGGCCAGAACGCTGAGAATGCCGAGCGTCCGACGAGCACATAGCCAACCTTCCGCTATTTCCTCGAGATGCTTCACACCATGTATTATATCGCGCTTCGCATTCTTGTCTGGTAGGTTCAGAAGATGTATCGTGCATGCTGAGTGTGCAATGTATACACAGATGTTGCATATCTGGCGCAAACCATGCGATCGTTTGTATAGTCGTAGTAGCTTCGATATCATAGCAGCAGCTTGTGTGCATAATTTCCTTGGCGATACACTTGCCGGCAGTGGAGAGTTTTTCGGATTGTATTTGAGGAACGGTCGAAACAGATGGATATACAACAACTGAAAGAACATGCTGCGACAGGATTAGTACGAGTGACGTTAAATGTTACGCAAGGCGTGCTTACTGCATGACCAGCATGTGCGGCAAACCGCCCTCTTTCGGCTCCAACTCCTTTGGTAGTTCTCTTCTCCAGGTTTCCAGGCGCATGTGTATCTCACTCAGCTTCTTCAGCTCTGCCTGTCTGCCCTTGACCTTGTCCATATCGGTCGGGTTGTAGAAGGAGTTCATGAGATCGCTAGAGATCTCACATAGCTTGGATATCTGGAGAGCGACTGCACGCGTCCGACTTGGCTGGGAGTGTGCTTGACTGAGTCCGGAGTCTGTGACTGCGCTCCACGTTTCCGCATCCTCGCTGGGAAAGACTTCGAACTTCGGGACTGTAAGGATCGTGTTGGGTAGTTGTGGCAATCGTCCCATGTAATTACTCCAGCACTTGTCGAACAGAAAGCAGCCCCAGAAGGTGATCCGTCGCGCGTCTTCTTCGTTGTCATCGATGGTGTCTTTGCTGTGCATACCGAGATTTAGGCCGAGGTCGCAGGCCATGCGGAACGACATGCCACTGTAGACCCAACCCTTTGCTTCCCGCCCACAACCAGCTTCCCGTACAGACATCAGTGCTAAGGCCTGCACAGTCGTCAAAGCTGGCATCTCGTGCAGGTCATCCTCCATGATTAGCCGCTTAGCTTCCTTGAAGAAGTGGTCGCCTGCCGTGGCAGAGTCGTCGCGGACAGCCCTGGCTGCGGGCCACGATGTGAAGTGACACCCCAGTGCTAGCATAGCATTGACTAGTAGCGGCGAACAGTATTGTGATCTTCTCCCGGATCCCAGTAGCGGTTTGCCTTGTTGAAATTCTTGTAGGAAAAGGTTCTTCGATAGGGTAGTGAAGAAGCTGTAGTGCCAACAAAAGTACATGCTGATAAGATGCTGCACAAGCTCCGGGTCCGAGGTGACAGTCGTCCACGAACAAAACGGGTCCTGTGCCTCCTGGTACTGGTCTTCAGAATATGTATCCGGGGATTCGGCGGAGTCATTGCCTTTGCCTAGGTATATGAGATGCGATGTGCCGCCAATGTATCTGGTCGATCCATCTTCAAGCCGCAGCTCGCCCATCTTCCCGCTCAGCTGACTCTCGAATGTGCCCTTGGCCGGCGCCATGGTAGGCGTTGTGATGGGACTGATGGGCTCATCTTCGTCGTCTTCGCCATTCTCCTTCGCTATGATGGCCTCTGCAACCGAGTCCAAGCTCTCGCATGTCCGTATCTGTTGTACTAGGTCCGCGACTTCCTCTTCTGGATAGTTGAGAATAGCTTGGATAAGCGTCTGCAGGGTGGAATTGCGCGTCTTGAGGTTGTCGATGTCCTTCTTGTAGACGCCTTTGCGGCGGTGGTCCGAGTTGGGGTCGTAGATGCATGGCGTGTTGTAGACGGCGGCACATGCAGAGCACGCGGGAGTGGTACCGTCGCACTATGCGTCAGATTAGCGACTACTCTCGTACAGGGCGCGTGGTTCCGGAGGGGTTGGTGATCATCCGGAGAATGTATGTATACACCGGAGAAAGGGCATCAGGGCCAATTCCCGTTACCTAACATACCTTGGACTTGCGCTTCCTGCATGGAACACAGGCGGAAGAGATGCAGCGGCGCTTCTTGGAGTCCTCGCTTCCGGCATCCCTCTTGCTCCTTCGTCCCTTCTTGGCCGGCGTGTCAGAAGTCGGTTGCGCTGCCGCAGTGGTGTTGTTCTCCATTACAGGTCTTGTCGGTTTACCGGAGAAGCAAATTGTGGGGGAATGGCGGGGCGCGCTTTGACGGACCTCAGGCAACGCGACATTAATCAGCGGCCAGTGGATATCGCAGTCTGTCGTGGTTCGGGGCTCTATCTCGCGGGCTCAACATGGCTGGCCAAGGACAGGGAAGCGGGCGCAATCAAGTCGGAATCGGCGTCGCATTGGGCTGGTGATGAGTGCCTACGCGACCGAGCTGCGTCGCTGAGGTACCTCGCTATCAGCACGCTTGTGATTGGCTGGCGCTTCGGCCCTTATCTGGAGACTCCCTCTTAGCCGACAAACGCGTCCATGACTGCAGCAGAGGCGCGATAAAGCAATGAGGTAGTTGCACTTTTGCATCATTCGATAGGTTATTAGCCCAAAAACAAACTCCCACGATGGACCCGGGAGGTCTTCAGTGCATCATTGGACGCTGGCGAAATCCCGAAAACGCTGTGAAGACCTCCAGCCCATCCCGAAATCAGACTCCACGACGCCAGAACCAACGCCCGTAGTCCCCAAACCGACCCAAGAATGTTCGAAATCGCACTTTTTAGACGCCTGAATACCTCAAACCCCCTCGAGATCCCATGTCACACTAGAAGTCGTCGGCATAGCCCTCGTCATCGCGATCGGCCCTGAATCCACCGCGTGGATTTGGGTTATCGACCATGATGAAAGGTTTACCATCGGGGTCCTCCTCCAAGTTACCGAACAATCGCATCAGGGTGCGTGTATCCATCCTGATCGCTGTTAGTTATGCGTCGATCGATCGCCAAGAGAAATCAACACGTACTTCTTCATGGTCTTGCCATCATCCTCCATAATCGCAGCGATCTCTTTGTCTTTGCGATCTTGCATGTCAATGAGAGTCTCGTCGACCGTGTTCCTGACGCAGAGGCGGCTCATGATGGTCTCCTCGCGCTGGCCGATGCGGAACACGCGGCAGAAAGCCTGTTGTTCGGAGGCCGAGTTCCACCAGGGATCGATCATAATGACCTTGGACGCCATGGTCAGGTTGAGACCCACTGCGTGTAGTCAGCAAAGAGTAATCTGGAACGGGTATCCGAAGGACTCACAGCCACCACACCGGAGAGATGCCAGCATGATCTTGCAATCTGGATTCTCGGCGAACGAGCTGATGGCCTTATCGCGGGCGCTCAGGCTCATTTTGCCATGGTACTGCACAACATGTTAGCAATAATCTACAATAGCTTGAGGATTTGGGTAGTGCCGGGAGGTATTCGCAGTTGATTTCAGCGTCAAACGAGAGTACGAAAGGTCATGTCGCCGTCTGGCCGGTACTTACTTTCTCAGCCACCCAGCCTTCTTTTCGAAATACGGCGTCCAAAATGCGGATCCTGTGGGCTGTCAGCGTCTGAATGAAGGAAATCAAGGAGCCAAAAGTACTCACATGGCCAGAAACTGCGTGTAGACAATGATCTTGACGTGTGGGTTCTCATTGAGCCAGTTCATGATCTGGCTCTTGACAGCAATCGTCTTTGCAGAGGGTAGAACGTCCTCGCCAGCCAGATCAAGCCATTCTCCCGAGACTTCTTCGCGATCGAGGCGCGCGCGCTGTTTCTCCTTGTTCTTCTTCTTGTTGGCACGTGTGCCTCGTGCTGGGGCATCGGGAGTATCATCCTCGTCTACTTCACAAGGGTGAATGTGAGTAGGGGTAGCACCGCACGCCTTGCATGCGGGAAATACATCTGGGTCGTCCGCCTCGGCCATCTCAACGACCACATTCTCGAGGCATGGCTCACTGCAGATGAGGTGGCCACAGGACGTGATTTGCGGCGCTCGGGGTTGCTTGCCACACCAGGCGCATTTTGCCTTCTGCTTCGTCTTCTCCCAACTCTCGCCAGTCTTGAGGCTGCTGAGGAAGGGCTTGAAGTTGAAATCCTTGCCGAAACCACCACCTGCGGTGAAGCGTTGGATGAGATCATCTGCAGGGTCTTCATCGATTGGCTCGTCAAATTCTTCTTCCAGTAGCTCATCGTCTTTACCGATGGCATTGGCGTTGACGTCGTCGTCCTCTGACACGTAATTAACCCCTTGCTCTTTCGCAGCTTTCCTAGCAGCGTCTTTCCTAGTTCTGGCAGCTTTCTTGGCTGTAGCTTTCCTGGCTTCAAGGTCGGCAGTCTTTCTCTTCTGATCAGCTGCAACCTTGTCTAGCTGCTTACGAACAGCAATGATCGTATGTCCGCCTCGCTCGCTGCTAGTCTGAGCCTCTTTGTCGACCACAGTCTTGATGGCCTCGATGTCTTCGCGCTCAAGAAGGTCACGGATGACGAACTGGAGCATTAGGATGTGACCTGTTAGTTGCCGAAGGCGAAGAAGCATTCTATACATTGTTAGCAAGGGTGTTTGGCCTGGAAGGGGTAACTTACACCAACACGTTGCTGTATGCCTTGTCCAAAGTACCGTTCTGCGCCCACATGTTGATGCACTTGGCAAAGCGTACGCGCACGATGTCGTAGATACTCCTCTCGACGGAGTTAAATTCGCACCAATGAGTTGACTGGTCGGCTTGAGGGAGCTTGAGAATGGGAGCGCCAAACATCTCGTCCGCGTGGGTCCGTCGGATCATGAATTGCGAAAGGCGCACCAACAGCCTCTCAGTGTTCTCCTGATTCTTACTGTCGCAGTAATTATTCTTGAAGATCTTGAAGCTGCCAGTGTGAGGGACATCAAGGAACTTGAAGTAGGGGTAGAGCTCCGTTAGGCTGTTGAGGATTGGAGTACCGCTGAGGGCCCATTTGTGGTGCGCCATGAGAGCCCGACAAGCGATTGATGTCCGCGACATATGGTTTTTGATAGCCTGGGCCTCATCGAGCACGACGCGCAAGAACATCATGCGGTGTAGAGGGCCCCTCTGTTTCTCAAAGACCAGCTTCCACCAAGCTATCTTCTGCTCAGCAGTCTGGCATTCAATAGGCGGTTCGTTCTTGGGGTACGACTGCATAATCTCGTGGTACGTAGTCAGAACGACGTCGTGTCCTGCTAAGATCTGATCGGCATTGGTCGAGTCAGGGCGTGTACCGGCACCATATCGCATGATCTTTATATTGACTTTGGAAGCGTCGGTGTGCAGTTCGATCTCGTTCTTCCATTGAGTTAAGAGTGCGGGACTGGCAATAAGTAGAGTTGTCTTGGGGCCTGTGTCGCTCTTAGGCGGTCGACCATTTACTATGTTCGCTACAGGAGTCAGTTTGGTTTGATGAGCTCTGTTTGGTTCACTTACCCAGCATCATAAGGGTCTTTCCAAGTCCCATCTGATCAGCCATCAAGCCGCCTCTTGGCTCTTCGGTTGCATTCTCTCGACGACGCATGAAGGCAGTGCCAAGAACCTGATATGGCTTGAGTGAGGTGCTCATACCTCTGACTCGCCAGAGACCGCTTCCGTCTGCCTTGACCTGACCCTTCCCATCGAACTCCTTTGTTGCAGCCAAGAGGATATCGATGTCGAGTCTTGCCTTCTTCTGCACCTCAATAGGTACGCTGGCGATGAGCTCTTTCAGCGCATCGGTTTTGTTTCTTGATCTGAATGTGGGCTGATCAGCTGCGCTGGCGCCGGCCTGTTGCTGAAAGACATCGGAGTTGAACAGCGATGTTGCCTGTTTGTATGCGTGATCTACCTCTTGTTTCTTTGCTGAGTATCTACCACCACGTGTCCTGGTCTGCTTCTTAGGGCCAGATTTCTGCTTCGCAGGTCCTTTTCCCTTGGAGGCTTTACCACGACCAGAAGGCACAGAAGCCTGTTCTTCGGCCGAGGCTACAGCACCCTTCTGCTTCTTCCGTGATGCGTCACCTTCAGCTTCAAGAGCGACTCGCATACTCTGAAGCTCGGCATCTTGCATCGACGGGTTCTTCCCTTCTTTGGTAGGCATCGGTCGGCGGCGCTTGCGAGCTCCAGAGTCTTGGATATCGAAGTCATGATCAGACTCCACCTCTTCCTCGATGTTCGGTGTGAAATTGAACTCTGGGAAAAGGTCAGATTGGCCGTCCTTCTCTTCTCTCTGCCTGGCAAGATCTCGAGATCGCTTCTTCTTTCTGGCTTCCTCAGCACCCGTTATCTTCAACCAATCAACATCCTCTTTGAATAACAGAGTACCCTTCTTCCTCTTCTGCTCATCGTAATAGCGCTTCTTCGCTTCGAAATCTTTGATGGCTTTCTTGTCTGCGAGATCGTCCTCGTTGATAGCTGGAACAGCAGCGGATGAAGACTGTCCTGGTCTGACAGCCTCAAGATACGCCTCATCGTCAAGATTGGAGTTGGTCTGATATGCTGATGTTTGTCTGCTAGTGACCAACTTCTGATGATCCCGTATAGTCTGCATAGCGCGAATCTTTTGGGAGACTGATTGACCGGTCACCTTTGGTCGAGGTAGAGTGGGCAGTGGCGGAGTGGCGATAGGTGCGACGGGTTCTTGTTGAGGCGTAATGATCTGGGCAGAGGGGTCGTCTTCAGGAATGAACAGCGAGTCAGGATCGTGGACTTGCTCGATTGAAGGCACAGGTGCGTCTTGATCGTGATCCATGTTCTCGACTTGTGATAGCGGGACCTGAGCATCGACCATGTCGTCCTCACCATCAGGCTCGACCATAAGTGCATCTTGATCATGGTCGAGGTTCTCGCTAGCTGGTACCGGGACTTGAGCGTCGGACATGTTGTTCATGTTATCCGGCTCGGCCATGATGGCTGGACGTTGAGGTGGAGATTTGGTAGTAGTTGTGGGGTAGTTGAAGGACGAGATAGGGTTGAAAGACTGATGAAGAAGGAGGAGGATTGTGGTGTAGGAAGGATAGAGGAGGTGCAGAGAGCGAGGCTTATATAGCCACTCACAGGTGGACGATGGAGCGGGGGAGCCAGGTGAGAGAGGTGTGCAGCAGATGCTGGAAGTTCGGGTGAGAAAGTGGTACATAGTAGACGTCTGTCAAAGGCTACTTGTACCGTGCTCAAGTCGAGATGAGTGAGCGCCTGGGAGCCCAGAATGCAAATCCGTTGGATTTCCACTTGCGCAACCCATTGAGAGCCTCCTGGCCCCTTCGAAAGAGTTACGGTTGCGCTCGAAGTAGGCGTTGTCGGCGCCAGACCCATCTAAGATTTCCTGGCTCCGGTTAGCGCGGATACAACGTGCGTGGCTTGTTGAGAACCTCCTCACGCCTCCAGAACAGTTGTAATCATGAGTGACGCAGACATTGTAGGCGGCAACCCGATTCGAGGTTTCCTGATTTTTGAATAGGTTAGCGCAGACTCATCATCATAGTACTCACACAGGGCGAGGTGGCGCCCGTTTCGAATTATACAACCCAAAGATCGCTATGCTTCGTAACCTGTAGCCCAGCTACGTGATATGCGTCATGGATAAGAACCCGTGTTAGACATTATTCTTTATATTGTTATGAGTATAAGGTGCTACAATACACCTGTCGTGTTATTGGGTATCGGAACAAATTCGAAGAAAACGGCAGTAGTTGCAGTATGTATTCCCATGTAAACCAAGAAGACTCCCTATTCACCACCTCTTACCGCAGAAAAACCTACAAGTATGCACATGAAGAAAACAAAGAAAGAGTCTGTATAAGACCATGTCTAGCACTGGTTCTCCGCAATCTCGGGGTAGAACCAGGCAGCCAGTGCAATGATGATATAGCTGGCCATGAGCAGTATGCCTTCGAGCCAATCTGCAAGTTATTAGTAAAGTGCGCACATGAATAGGCCAGGAGTGTAAACTTACGTGACTTGCCGTCCTGAATGAGGTAGTTGACGAGCAATACCGAGACAAACAGTGTGACGATCTGAAAATTGTCGAAGTACAGAGTCATGCAGTCTTTGCCCAAGATCCATCCCAAGATCACGATGAACGGGAAGACGAGAAGAGCAATTTGCATGCTGGAACCGACAGCGACACCAATAGACAGATCCATCTTGTCCTTGATGGCGACAGTAACAGCTGTGGCGTGCTCAGCAGCATTGCCGACAATGGGAAGCAAGATCAGACCAACGAAGGTCGTAGAAATTTTACCGGTATCGGTGAGACCTTCGATACTTTCGACCATGAACTCTGAGCAAAAAGCGACAAGTGTTGTGGAGATTGCTAGAGTAACGAGAGCGCCGAGAACAGAGAGCGAGGGGGTTTCAAACTCCTCTTCTTCGTCGTCGTCATCTGAGCCGTCGGGGTTCTTGAAAAGTGACTTCATGTTGACACCGCCTCCAGACGCTGCAGCAGTACCGGCGCCAATGGCTGCGATGCCGCGCGAAGCATCGCCCTCCTCCTTCTTGCCAGATTTGCGCTTAGGGACCTTTTGGCTAGGCTCGTTGTACATGGTAGCGTGAGTCTTCAGCTGGAAGGCAAGATAGCAAGCGTAGACCAAGAGGAGGATAACAGCCGTGCCATGTGACAATTCCTGGTTCCTGACAGCATCGGCAGCACCATTGTTCGCGGTGCTGTCGTCCTCGGCGATGGTGTTGTGGAACACAGTCGGAATGATAAGCGATGCAACACAAAGAGCAAGCAGCGATGCCGCCGTCTGTGCAACCGTGACGTTGAAGAACTGTTCCAGACGGTTGATTCCACCTAGGAAGAACGACATACCCAATACCAATAGCAAATTCGACAACATGCTGCCAATGAGTGAGGTCTTGACGATGGTGATCTCGTCTTTAAGCAGGGCTTGGACGGACACGATCAGTTCTACGGCGTTGCCAAAGGTAGCGTTCAACAGCCCACCAAGAGTCTCGCCAACACGGATAGCCAGCTCTTCGGTCGCGTTACTCAACATGGCTGCGAGCGGGATGATGGCGATAAAGTTGATGACGAAGACCGGGACGGGTTTCAGGTGTGCGTATCGAACAGCAAACCCGATGGGCACAAAGATGAGGAGAACATTGATCCAAGCACCGAAAAGAACGAAGCGGATCTGTTTCCCGACCGGAATCTTCCTCTTGTGGGCCTTCCTCTTGCGTTCCTCTAGTGAAAGCTCGTCATCCTCTGGATCCTCTGTCTCAACATCTGGCGCATCATGGTCTTTGCGGAAGATGCCCTTGAATTTGGCACGTCGGGTGGGGCCAACGTTAGTCTCTTGGTTGGAAGGCGCAATGGTACTGTCGCCGGAAGCTTTGTGAGCGCCATTCGATTCGGACATCAGATCCTTCTCCTCCGTTGACTCCGGAATGGTCGTAGACGCGCTGCCGTATGTTGGAGAAGATGTGGATGGTTCAGTGTTGTGATGGTCGGGCATACCGAACTCCTTGCCTGCTTGCATGCTCTCTAGCCGTCTTTGCTCCTCGATGGCGGGTGGAGCATGGGTTTCCGATCGCGTCCTGTGTACTGCATTCTCTTCGTCTAGGTTAACGTCTCGAGACCGTTGTCGGGCGAACGGGTTGTAGTTCGCTGCGCCATTGCCGCCATGTTGCGATGCGACGCGATGTGCCTGCCTTCGTACGGTATCTAGATTCATTGTTAGTTGTGTTCTGGTGTTTGGCAGAAGAAGTTGAGTCGAGGGATAATCGAGGCCTATCGCGATCTCGATGCTCGGAGATGTGGATCCACTTACGCATTGATCTACTTTCGCGGCAGCTGTGCCGTCTTCTTGCACTTGAAGGTGGAGATGTGGTCCAGTTGAGAATCGCGCTCAAGTGCGACCTTCAGCTCGATATGCGGAGTGAGTACTCGGAACGAGTTGCTTGTGATTCGGAGCAGGTGGCTGGGGGCCGAAACGGATGAAATGGGGGCGAACAATTGTCTGGACCAACAAGCGCGCGAAAAACTGTGCCTGATGCAACCGGGGAGTGATAGACGCAGGTACGCGGGCAATCTGAGTCGGAGATTTGTCGTTGAAGGGTTGCCCTGAGAACAAACGACCGGTGAGTGAATGGAGAAAGGAGGAAGGGGCCAAGGGTAATTAAACCTGTGCCAACGCACTGACGAGTCGAACACTGACGAGTACTTGTGGCTGTTGTGTGAGTGCACGAATGAGAAACGCCTCAGCCACAGTTAGAAGGGGCAAAAAGGAGCTAATGGGATTGTCAAAGGCTGTGTTTACAGTGGCGCGCGCATGCAAACACAAATCACTGCGTTCGGAGTCTGCGTGATTGCCTCTCGGAAGACTGATGCGCAAAGCTTCACGTCATGATAGTCAAGCCTTGTCACGGAGAACCAAGATTCCCTCGAGGCACTTGGCTGGGGGCTTGGGCTAGCATTGGGGCGTAGAGGCGGTCTGGGCATGACGACGCGCCTAGACTTGGAAACGCTTAAGTGGTCGACGCATGCCAACTTGCGCACTAGCAAAGCATCACGATTCTTGATCTGGGGAAACTGCTGGTGTTGTTGGAGTTTCCTTGCTTTCCTCCCATGGCTGGTTGGCCGGCGTCGCAGGCTGTACCCTGGACGTTTTACCACGTATGCTGTATACCGTAAGCTCTAGATGCTTGTTCTACGTCTGCTTGCATGCGAATGCGACAGAAATACCGCGGATAATCTTGATATGCACGACAAGCATCAAAGCTTACATTCGCAGCAAGACGCATGCGGCCATGAAAGAGACCTGAAATAGCGTCCGCTTAATCATGCATTTACAAGTACACGATTTGATAGCTAGACGTGCATCGCATCTGACCTGATGATCTGCGCGTGCATATGTCCTTGCCCCAATTGCACGGCTGGAGTAATGATGGCACAACGATGGCGCCATGATGGCGCGCCCATCTTCGACTGGAGACCGCGCACGAGGGAAAGTATATCCTGTCACTCGCATCAACACGATCGAGCAACTCTTGCTTTTTCTCATATCTGTTACCCAACTAGGCAAGTCGCGCAACGGCCATGGATGTCGGCGGGCACAAAACAAAAGAAATGCCGGGGCCGTCCTCACAGCATTGGTGCGCAACTGCCGAAGGCATGCCGCAGCGACGTGGGTGGCGGCACGCCGCAACAACCTGATTCGTGCGCAAAAATTCGAGTTCGAGGTTGTTCGCAGACATGGCGCTCAGTATGATAGGAAGACACGGTTCGCAATCTTGCATCTGTACGTCTGCCGTTACTCATGCACTCACGGTATGCAACCCGGCCGATGACGTACGGGCTGGATTCTCACAACATACATGATCAAGAAGCTATTCGCATGTGCCATGGCCGCGAGTGAAAGGTATAGCAAAGTTATGGAATTTATTGTAATGTTTGCATCGAATACTCCTTTCCCACATGAAACATCCGCATCCAGTGCCATGAACGCCATGCTGCCATCCCAAGCACTCCTGTGCGCCTTCTAGCAGGTATTACACTGCGTTGCATGTCCCTCCTCTCAAGCCATGCGCATCCAAGACTATCGATTTATGGGCCCTGGACCTTGTTGTCGCCCTTGATCACATCCGCATAGGTCGGTGGTGGCCCTTCAGGCTGACTCGAACTACCCTCGCCGCCTTGCGGTGCAGAAGCATTCGGAGCAGAGGAGCCCTTCGCAGCCTTGTTTCCCTTTGGTTGCGCAAAGCTGTTTGTTACGCCACTCTGCTGTCCAGGGAACTGTCCGTTGCTTGGCTGGCTGCCCACGGTACCGTAGTTCGCTTGTCGTCCAGCCGGCTGCTCGTGGGTGATAACATAGTATGTGGTTCCGCCGTTGCTGGTTGTGCCGCGTTCGCGGTCGGGCACTTGCTGGTATGCGTCGTACGGATCTGGGTTTTGGAGGATCACGTACCAGGCGTGTAGGAGGCCTGGCAGGAAACCGAGACAACAGAGCGCGAGGTTGATAAGAGAGTCGGCACTGCAGAGGCCTTTCTTTACCCATACCCCCACAGGTGGGAACTAGTTGACTTGTCAGTACTTGAAGACGGTGGGTCGCAGAGAGATGGCTGGTGCCTGCCACAGCTCTAGGGGCGTGGACGTACCAGGACGCTCAGAAGCATCAGAAAGCAGTCGGAGCCGCACATGATGACAGTGATTCGCGATGTAGAGTTCTGGGTTGGGTCGGGGCAGCTGTAGGTACAAGGTCGTAGTCGTCGTGCTGGCGTGAGGGTGTCGCCTGAGCGAGAGGTACCGCTTGATGTGATGACGCACATTGTGGCTGTGCGTGGCTGTGCATTTGCCGAGGAACTGGAATACGATATACGAGAACCATCGCTGTAACTAGTGCTAGTCGAGACGGAGCGCCGCGTCTGCAATTTGATGTCTTTCCAGGCCAATCTTTCGTTTCCAGATTATGGTTGTCAAGTGCAAGCTCTGGGAAAGATAGCCCGGTCTCGCAGCAGGTTCACATGTCACATCCCCGATATTCAAGAGCGCCAAATGTTGCACATTATCCATTTTGATTAGTTTACGTTAGTATATACGTATGCTTGTTCTACATAGAATGAACGCTTATCGTTGTACGCAGACTTGATCACATGCAACAGACCTGACCTCCCCGGCACTTAAAATTAGCACGTAGATCCTGCTACGCGTTCTGGTCCACGCATCCTCAAGATCACAGCCCTTGCTGAAAGGCAGACAATAGCTTGCAGCTGACGACCCTAGTGCCAGAGTGGTATGCGTCTTCTGTGGTTGGCGCCATTCTATTTGAAGAAGCTAGCAACGCACACAATGGATATCAACATATACTTACTGCACGTATCATTGTGCGATCTTGCTGGATTACACGAACAAAACATGGATCGCAATCCCCGAGCGAAGTACAGGACCAAACACCAGAGAAACATGATCTGAAGAATAAGGGACCAAACAGGGTGGTAGGTGAATAGATAGAATGATGACATGGTAAAAAATTGACGCGACAACTGGGAAGATCGAATGAGATTAATATAGATACGGATGAAGACGACAAGATGATAGAATCTCTGGAGCAGACAGTGAAATGAAAAGGACATAATATGCCCTGTGAAATGAACATCAAGCGCTAAGTGACGCTATACCCATAAGCCGCCCTTTCTGAACAAACTCATCAAAGCATTCTTGAGACAGAAACTTGGATCGCGGTCGTCAACCCCTCTAGACGTGAGGATGTAGTAGCAAAACAGTGAATGAAAATGTAGGGTACCATCCAGCATGATAACATGCGGGATAAAGTGGACGATCCAGTATCTTAAACGGACCATTACTCAAGGGCAAGAGGCTGGCGGGATGCGTTCTTGATGGGTGACACGGCAGTCACAAGAATTGACAGCTCTGATGGAAATCCCGAGCAAGCAGTGCAGTGGGCGTGCCGACATACTGACGAGACGTTCAACGTCGACTGTGACTAGTAAGATACTGCACGAGGATTGGAGAGCGTCAGAAGAGATTCGCAAATCTTACCTATATGCAGCATCAACTTGAGAACGCCGCTTTCGCTTGCTGTAGTCTTCTTGCTGCCGCAAGCGCTCATGCTCGTGATCCGCATCCTCGTAGCTCCTCTTCCGAGAGAAAGAGCTATCGCCTCGGTCGAGTGAGGTTGCACTTGGCACATCCTGCCGTATTTCGCTGCTAGGGTTTTCGGGCTCGAAATCAGAGCCAGCCATGGTATGATTACTTCCTTCGGAGAGCGCCGGACTGCCCCTGGAGCCATCGAGACCATGGCCACTACGCTGAGGCGCATTCCAAGGGTCATAGCGTTGTTGTTGTGGGGGTGGAGGTGGAGGTGGGGGCCTGGAGGTGGTAGAAGACGACATGGAGCCGTACGGCCGAGGCAGGGGAGGTCCATGTGTACTATTGCGGTGCCCTCCGTACGATTGCGCTCGTTGAGGTGGAAGAGCAGGCTCTGCAGTCTTTGTTAAGGCAGAAGGCAATGATGGCTTGCCAGGAAGTGACGACGGGATCTTCGCATCGGAAGCAGATAATGGTAGTGAAATCTGCTCATCTGATGGTGGCTTCGGAGTTCCGGTCACGCCCAATTTAGCCAGGATGTCTTCTTGGCTTAGCTGTTGAGGAGGTGCTGTCTCAGACTCCGTGGTGGCAGGTTTGGTGGATCCACTGTTAGTGGCGAGTGCTTGCTCAAGGTTGTCCATAATGTCCCACGTAGCGTCGCGCATCTCCAGATCCTCATCCTGTTGTACCTCCTCGCATAATTCGTCCGGGCGATCTCGTTGAGCGATGCAATCCTCTAGCGAGACCAGATTGGATTTCATGTCCTCTTCTGTGAACACGACAAAGACGGGGTCATCCTGGAGTATCTCCCATTCGTCTGTCTGCCTAACATTCAAGAAAGCCTCGTGCGAGTTATCAGCTGTAAAGTACATTGACACTGAATCTCCGTTGTCCAGTTTCTCCGGCGTGGGTTTCAGTGCGTCTTCTTCGGCCTCGGCGAAAGTTGATGGCAACGCACGTGTTACCTGCTTTGCGGGATGCCAGATGATAACTCCGAGACTTAGGGCCGGATCGACAGGTTCATTGCTTTTGGGCCATATAGCACCATCGAAATCGAAATCCCAGTCGTCCCAGGCAAGGAACAGCTGCGGCTTCTCGCCTGAACTCCCTTCACTCAAAGCACTGGTGGACTGGTTAGACGGCGGAAGGGTATGAGCCGTAGTGAGATGAACAGTCGCCTGAGTTGGTGTAGCGTGAGGATCCGGCGTGGAATGAGTATCGTTGGGTAATCCGTTGATTGAGCTGTATTGGTTTGCCTGATAAGATGCTTGTCCATGCTGCTGTGACCACGCTGGATTTTGCCCATAAGCCTGTTGGTTGGTGTTAGTGGCCGCATGCTGAGGCTGATATCCTTGATAGTGGCTCTGTGGTGGTGCACAGGGTTGCCCAGGAGGTTGACTCGGAGGTTGCGAGTAACCTGTATTTGGTTGATAACTTGGTTGCGGCCATTGATAATTAGCTTGCGCCGGCGGATATGCTGCCTGTGGATAGTTCGGAGCTTGAGGAGGCGGCGGATTGTAACCTTGAGCGGGATAGCCATGGTGCGCAGCGGGAGCAGCATAACCTTGCTGTGGGTAACTTGGAGGTACTGCGGGTGCTTGTGAGAATGTAGGCTGCGGTGGTTGATATTGATTGGGAAACTGAGCGGTGCCAAAAGGACCCTGAGGCTGCGCTGGCCCGCGATAGCCTGGGGGAGGGGGATACCGAGTAATTATCGGATTTCCCTTCTTCTTTGGAGGTCTATGCATATGTCAGAAAACGGTCTTTGGGAAATCCAAACTTGAAGTTCGATGTCGTTGTTCTTTTTTTTTTTTTTTAATATCTGGCCGACCTGCAAGTACGTGGTAAGATGAAGGAAACCTACTGAACATGGGGAGCACGGTGAGGTGGACCGGCTGGCGGATAGGCAGCTCCTGACTGATATTGCCCGTATCCCGGCTGCTGTCCTGGCTGCTGTCCATATTGATAAGGCGGCTGTTGGCCGTATGGCTGACCATTGGCATACGGTTGCTGCTGGAAAGGCGCCGAACCGGCTACGGGCCCGCTCCACGACATGCCAACTATGGAAATTACCTGTTGCGATGCACGTCAGGAGTAAGATGCTCGGGACCTTATAGAAAGAGATGAAGTCGATGAATTTCTCGGAAGCGGTGATGTAGGTCGGACTGGATGTAGGCAAAAGTTCTTGAGTTGTGAGGTGCGCGTCTCAAAATTTGGTCTGGTCGAGCGCACGAGCCAGGACGACGAAAGAGAAGCCCAAGCTCATGGAGGGACTTTCAACTTAGGGTGCTCTGATAACGCGTGAATGCTGAATGACTTGGGGCGGAACTATGACGTTGGGAAAGACGGAATTGAGTTGACGGAAAGAGCCCTGAAGTGAAACAAGCCAGGCTGATGTGAGGAAAACCCTTGGAAGTTGCTATGAGAGCACGGCAGGATGCAGGTGGCGGATTGCGAGGGATGTAGGATAGTGGTTTTGGCACATCAGAATCTAATGACGCGACAGGAGGGAAGACGCCGAGGGGTGAAGATGCCGAGTGCACACCTATCCCATTGAAGCATGCCAACGGTTGTCGCGTAGAAATGAAATCTGGAGCGTGGTCACGTTCTGCGCTTGGGCCAGGGCCAGTGTGGGATGCCGCCGCATTTCAGGCCGACAGGCACATATTGCCCCCCATTGCCATGTCGCTCGCTCTCGCGCCATCGCCTAGATACCGCCCCTCGATGCGCCCCCGAGGATGATTGTACGATACAGACACCTGCTAGCGACCAGTATAGACTCGATACCCTGAGCTGCGTCGCGGATGCCCCAACACCAACACCCACCCCACAAATACCACCATGCCCGGCCTACCGTGTACGTCAGTCGCCGACGCCTGCGCATTCCTTAGGTGGCTGTGCTGACATTGTGGCAGCTACCGTAGACCTCGATGAATGCATATCGCGCCTGTCGAAGAAGGAGCTGCTCGCCGAGTCGGTGGTCGAGGCAATATGCGCAAAGACCAAGGAGCTGCTCATGAAAGAGAGCAATGTGGTGCACATCAGAGCGCCCGTTACTGTCGTGGGTGATATTCACGGCCAGTTCTTCGATATGATGGAAATATTCAAAATTGGCGGGCCATGTCCTGATACCAACTACCTCTTCCTCGGTGCGTCTTCGTCCATTGGTCGTGTGCTGTACGCGACCCCGTTTCATGACGCTAACATGTACTAGGTGACTACGTCGATCGCGGTCTCTTCTCTGTCGAAACAATATCGCTCCTCGTATGCTTGAAGCTTCGCTATCCGCATCGAGTCCACCTTATACGTGGAAACCACGAATCGCGCGGAGTCACTCAGTCCTATGGCTTCTACACCGAATGCTCGCGGAAGTACGGCAACGCAAACGTATGGCACTATTTCACCGACATGTTCGACTTCCTCACCCTATCCGTCGTCATCAACGACCAGATATTCTGCGTACACGGCGGCCTCTCACCGTCAATACACTCCATCGACCAAATCAAAATCATCGACCGTTTCCGCGAGATACCTCATGAGGGGCCCATGGCGGACCTAGTCTGGAGCGATCCCGATCCCGAACGAGACGAATTCTCGCTCAGCCCAAGAGGTGCAGGTTATACGTTCGGAGCACAAGTTGTTAAGAAGTTTCTGGAAGTCAACTCCATGTCGCATATTCTACGCGCACATCAGCTGTGTCAAGAGGGGTACCAGGTCCTTTACGACGACAGGCTTAGCACGGTCTGG